AGAGGTACTGTGAGCAATGAGCTCAGTAAATGATACCCCCCCCCCCGCCTCCCATATGAATATAATGGCAGTGTCCATGTTTTGCTGTGTGTAATAATTTGCAATTTGTGATAAAGATTATGTGAAAGTCTCATCAAATTCATTCAGTGGTATGAGAGGAGTTGCGGATAAGAGATGGGTACCCTAAAGCGTAACAGACGGACGGACATAACGATTACTATACACACTCCCGCTTTTCAAGCGAGGGGTGTAAAAAAAAAAAATAAACAAACAAAACTTTTCTTTCCTACATACACTGTATACTGATACAGGCTCATTACAAGAACCTGCATGTAATGTGACACATGACCAACTGAGTTTCAAATATTTACTGGAAATAACGAATGTTGTGTCTTATGTAACGCTGCAATTTTCAGGCAGAATGAGTCTTTGCTTAAATGTTGTAGTTAGAAAAAAAATATATTTTTTTAACTGACATTTTTTATTAGACCGTTATATATTATTAAGTTTTAAGGGGAGACAGGGAACATGTCACATGACTATAAAGACATATTACGTCGTAATCAGTGATGATATACATATTTAACTTAGTTAAAATCAATAGTTCTTGTGTAATTTTATTCTAAATTATAAAATTGTTTTTTAAACATTTAATTTTAGAAATTATAATTAATAAAATTTTTAAAGATCTTGGCATCATTTAGATATTGTGATGTTGCCCAATCCACACATTTGTTTCTCTTTACCCTGCAGTCTGACGTCAGTGACGTCATAGAGGGTCGATATCTTTTAAATAAGTCAAGAAATCCCATGACAGGACCGTTTAAAATGTTAAGTACATATTAAATTAGTAATATAAAAAATACGAAAAAAATTCATTGACAGGAATTTTTTCAGCGAAAGGTCCTGTTCCTCCTTAAATGATATTTACAAAATCAAAATATTCTTTGCTTCTTTTCTAAACTATAAAAAGAAATTCATTGGAGTTTTTAAACATTAATTTTCACTTGACTTTTTAAAAACTCTCTTTGAATATTTCTTTTCACAGTAAACAGATATTCGCGGGAGCAAAGTATGAAACACTATTTTACAATAACCAGATGCATGGTAATGTTTAATAATGTAAATTAACTAAATATAAACTTGTTAATTCTGGACATGTCTTTGAAATATTTTGTACATTCATCGTGCATTTTAAAACTTCACATTTCCAGTACAAAAATTTTACGGAAAGAAATTTTATTTATTTATTGATTTATAATTATTTAGCAAAGACTAATACAATATATCATGCAGGAAATGGGAGTTGGGACTGAAGTAATGTTCATTATTTAAGTATAATTTTGCATATGGTAGCTTATAAAGGTATGCGGACATTTATTTGTCTAAGTGGCAAGTACATGTATACTTATTTTATTGCTGACGATGCAGAGTTATTGGTCTTTGGACGAATTAAGGTTAACAGGTGTGTAGTTTTAATTTTAAAATTGTCAAAACACTTTAATAGTTTTTCTTTAAGTTGCTTATAAATATTTGAAAAACAACTTCAAGTGATTGGTAGTAAAATTTCATAAAAACAATGATTAAGGCTTCCATTTCCTTCTAGAACGTTATTTAGGGGCAACTAGTTTCGCCAAATCGTAAACAACTCTTGACGTCACATGTATATTTGGATCCGTCAATCATGTAGGGTGTTTATCAAAACACATGAATATTTTTAACTTGGTTAAGCCAAAAACAGAAAAACAAAAAAATAAAGTGTACTATATTTTTGCTTAATCTTAGATCACAAAATATCTTAGACATAGAATGTATCATACAAACTGTTAGGTGACGAAAATCTCTACCATTATAAGTAGTTTTCTATTTAGGTTTTGATAAATTAAAAGATTGATACCTCCTCTTCCCTTGGAATTCTCAAACTTGATTGGCTATGATATTCGCCACGTCATAGTCATGGGTTTACTGACTAGTTTCCCGTATTTTCTGTAAAATCAAAACAAACTCCATGATGGTTTGAAGAAAAATTGTGTAAACACTGAGGAAAAAGTTTAAAATAATGTGATATAACGGTAGTGTTAACTTGTCATCGTGTTATTTAACTTTTAACGGATACAAAGAGTGGACAAGATTCATAAATTATATTGTAGGTATGTATTTTTCTTTTATTGTCTTTTTCTGAGCTAGGACACCCTAGCGTATACTATCGATACCATGCCATGCCAGAGTGTTGTGCAACAGGATATATGATGAAATCTTTCAGTAATGTTTAAACGTTTTTGATACACTGTATACAGCATCCGCAAAGCGTTCTGATGTTTTAATTGGTACTATTTTAATGGTGTTGATCATCATTATTTTCCCCATCACTAAATTTTAATAATTAGCGCGTGACCCCTGACCTGTGTTGTTTACGTCGAATGAGACTTGATTGACTCAACGCCCTGCCACCCGCAGGCGAGTTTGTTTATATACCTGCTGCAATGTTAATTGTCATTTGGTGATGTCACACGACCTGCTAGTCTACGTCAAAGCCACAATCCACTATAAGACGACCATGTGTATAGTATCAGCGATCATTCGTGGATGTGTGTACTATGAGGATGGGCGCGCGAGAAACTGATTGGATAGTCGGATTTTTTATAAGTGTCAAGGATCGACACATTATTAAATAAAAACTGGACTCTGAAAATATTTATGAAATGGTTGCTAATTCACCGGTCGGTGTCACTTGCATGGCTCACAGAAATGGAGGGTGTGAAACTTATTCCGCCACTGTGGGATCCGCGCCAACAATTACTCATACAAATGTACATCGCATGCCATGGCGATCCCACTTGGAGCGTTGGAACTCTTTTCCGCCTTCCCAGGGGTAATCTTTTTAATCAAATTCCGTGGTGGTTCAAGAATATTTAAATTGAACACTGGGTCAAGGAACGATTTCATTTTGACTTATATTGTTTAACTGAATGACATTGCCTATTTTTGTTTAAAATATTTTTAAATAATCATCTTAAAAGTAGTATGATTAATGACTTCTCTTTTTTTTAAATATATAATTACGCTGTATTAATGATTTGTTGTTGATATTTAAGCTGAAAGCTACACTTAGTTATTGAAAAGTCAACCTTATATACTGTATGGACGGATTTGCTTATTATTTTTGGTGAATCTGAAACATTATGCTAAATGGAATTGCACATTTTTACTTTTGAAACTATTGAGTGCATTTGCAGTATTAGGAAATTTAGACCTTTTTTTTTAAATAAGTTCAAAGGTTTTGGGGTAATATGTTAATCAGAAGTTTCTGATGAGGCTTGGAATGGACGCTCTGTATTTCTCACCGGTGTTCTTAAATTTGAGGATTACAGCTTCAAGGGGGGGGGGGGGGTTATCAGAAAAAAAAATAGAAGTATGATGGAGACATTTCATTTTTGACGAAAACAATTAACTTAAGTCATGAAAACAAAACAAATTTTTAAGTTTACAGCAATGGTAATTTATTTTGAAGAACCAGTAATGAAAATGCCAGAGAATAAGTTTGGGAGGTGGAAAATACGCTGACAAAAGGAAAATATGTTCATTTTAAAATAGGTTTTACACGTGTAGGCCTATACTATTAGAACATATGTGCCGCATTTATCAGTGCATCCCGCTCAAAAAAAGTAATATATTTACCCGTTTATAACGCTAATAATATTTGGAGATCTTCTGCAAGACCAGGAATTGTCTTTTTTCTTTTAATGACTAAGCAAACAGAATTCGGGAAAAAAGATGATAGATTCAATCTGCTGATCTTGCAGAAATTCAACGGCGAAATGTCATTTGGATATAGATAGAGGATGTATTTGAAATTCATTAAATTCAGATTTTATTTCATTATGAATATACGTGATTCAATTTATTTTTTGTTTTTAATTTATTTTATTTTTCATGTTTGTATAAAGTCACATATATGTACGTCGGGTCGCTGATATTTTCTTTATGATCGTTTATTAACTATTTAAATTAAATAATTTACAAATGTGTTAACATTTTAATGAAATCTTAAATTCACCACATTTGTATCTTAATGTATAAGTGTATTTTAAAAGTGAATAAGTTATATTGAAGTTTATAACTGGAAAACGTGACCATGTATTTCTTGAACGTGACTAGAAACGTGTAACAGTTAGTTCGACCAATCGGAAGGACGAATACTTGCGGTATGCATGGTATGGACTAATACTCGTAGAACGTTCTAGATCAGTAGGCCCTAGATGTCGATTAAGCTATGTCCGAGTAAAATTGGTCAATTGTTTTGCAGTTTTAGCTAGGGGTTAAATTTTGGGTTGATATTTGTCACCCTAAAGTTGTTTTTTTGTTTTGTTGTCGACCTTGCATTTTTCTTGTATTTGTTGTTTACTGAAGTTGACCCAGTTTTATCCGGTTTTCATTGGGCAATGTTCTGGAAAAATCCCTGTGCTAATTTTAGGTTGTTTACACGAGGGTATAAGGCTTAGTGAATTGTTTTCCAGTTTTAATGCCAAATGGGTATTAGAACACGTAAGTTGTATTTTTCAGCTACTGAAAATATTTTTTGATGTTAGATCTGTAGGCTACTTCTAATTTTTTGTGTTCTTGGACTTGAGATTGCATATCCGGCATTAATAGATTTACTTGAGGATATGAATTGTGTTCTGTTTGGATATTTTTGGACACTGGAAGTTGATGTAAATGATGCAAATTATTTATTATGTGCATGTCCTTTGTACACATGCACTTGCTATTTGCATTTTCTTCCAGTGTCTGTACCTTTGAGGAAGGAAATATTAGGAAGAGGTAAAATGCATAACACAGATATTCATGCACATACCCCAAGTATGGCTGGAATAGGATCCTGAATAATTGCATTTTGTACATATCTATCTGAGGAGAGTACTAAACAGCAAGCATTATAATTCGTATATTTTTTCTTACAAGTAAAAAACTTAAATTTCATATATACATCTTTTTTGTAGCGTGTCAGTTCTGCAAAGTTTACCAAAATACCCCCACCACAGTAAACTTCTCAAATCAAGGGCTTCTGTCGGTCACAACACAGCAGCTCGTAACACTGCAGCTTTTATAGCTCCGAAAATCAGCACGGGGACACGTACCTTGACCAAACCTTCCAGTCTACCTCAACTTTCTTCATTACACAAGCCGACCCTAAACAAGGCCGTCGGAGGTCATATCCCGTGGGTACAGCGCCCCAACCTCACGAGACCACACACACACATTACTTCACAGCTTATGACTAGGGGGACCAGGCCGGGCACATCTAAGGTACATTTATAATTATTAATTTTAAGCATAAAACTACACTTTTTATGATGTGATATTTCCCGCAAAAGAATTATCAGTGTTCAATAACATCCAAAAAATGAAGAAAAAAATATCATTGTCACAGTGGGAAATGGCTGAATATCTTTTAATTAATGTGCAAACCTTTTTAAAATTTAAATACATGGACTAACTACCTATGTAATTTGTAAGTATTCAGCACTGTAGGTAAGTGAAAGATGACCTTTGCAGAATGAACACTGTTAAGTGTATTATGTGTGGATATTTGTTTTCCATACAGGAATTTGCCATATTACATGAAATAAAATTAGGGGAGGACCGTTTGATTCTGAGAGGGGGGCCTAGCTGGCAAATTGTTTTTTTTTTTGTTTTTTTGAGTTAGATTATACAATATTTATTTTCAAACAAGTCAAGGGCAAATTATTTATTTACAATATTATTAAAAAGAAGAATTTTGCCAGTCAAGGACAGACTATTTTCAATATTTTCGAATAATATTTGTATCCTAGATCTGTTTTGCTCCCACCTCGGAATAAAATGGTCTTCCCCTGAGAAATTAGAGCATTACTTAAATTCTCTGGTAATAAAAGGGACCATGTACACCCAAAGTTGATACAAGTAGGCTAATGCCTCAGTCGTTTATCACAGGGGAGTTGTCTAATGATTGAGTACAATCTGAAGACAAAACTCGGTGCAGAAAGTTAAAACCAGTGCAGAAAGGTTACCGTATAATAATTCTGATCGATTAATGTGATAGGTTTGACCGTTTCATAGTATATATGTCCTTTCAAACTAAAATCTGCAGAAGAAATTTAAATAGGTCCTGTGTTAATTAAAACACATTAAATAAAATGAATGATTAAAACAATAAAATAAATTTTTAAAAATTGCTATCAAAAAAATTTGATGAGATAAATTCAGAATTATTGTTGATTGAAAAAAAAAATGTTCGAAAACATTGTACAAGTGGCCTGGTCAATAACTGGGCCATTAGGCTATTGCCCAGCAAGCAGTGGGGAGTCATACGGTCATTGACCTCATCTGACCCCCTTATCTTGGAGGTGAATGACCCTAAGTCGTAGCCCCCTAGTAATGCATTACTCTGAAATAACAGTTAATCAAGGAAATGTGGTGGTTAATGATAACCCAGGTTTATTAGATTCTCTTGAAAAAAGTAAATTACAGGTAAGTTAACTAAATTTTTTTCTCCTGAAAATAAGTAAACTACCGGTTAGTTAATAAAATTTTCTTATAAGCCTTAAAAAAGGTTACAAGGATGGAATGAATATAAGATAAATATAGCCAGTATAAGTAAATATAGAAAATAACTTGGTAACATTTGAAATTGACTTTGTTTTGAAGAAAATTTTAAAAATCTGCACACATGTTTTTGCTGTAGTTAAGAATTTATAAAAAGTGTAGTGACATTGGCACAAACACTGACAAAACTGCTTGCCTAGGTAAATATTTTTGTCCATATTGGATGTCCTTGAAACATTAAGCTGTTTTGTCTAAATACTTTTGACTCCTTGGAGGTAAACAATGAGGCGATTAAGTGTGACACATTGTCATATAACATGTACATGTATTTGTCAAATGTTGATTGTTTTGTTTTTTTTTTGCATTTGATTTGGAGTAAACATGTAGCTTGAATTTTCTAGTACATTCTAGATTTTGGACATGGCCAATTTATCAGTTATATACATGTGTGTTGATTGTATTGTAGCCCAGAACCAATATGGATTTCTTGAGTGGCGATTACTTGAATGGACCGATGTATGACCACAGGGTCAGTGGTGATGTGGACTCCGCCATCTTTGCATCTAGTCCTAACTCTCTGTGTATTTATGAACAGGAGAAAAATGACATGCAGAGTTTTAACGACAATTCGTGTCACGGCAGCATGACGAGTCTTCTTAATGAGGAACAATTTGATCTGAAATCGCAATACGAGAACTCGCTGGACATCACAATGCCTGTGGAAACTTCAGCTGTTACGACCACCACGGGGACATTTTCTGAAAATACGTGGGCAAATAACTCAGAGAATCAGACATGTAATACAGATCTAGTCAAAACAGAGGTGTTCGAGCCCACCCTGGCCGAACTTAACACGTCAACATCTGAAGAAAATACAATGATGGATATCAGTAACATCACAGACTTTATCTCTCAAGAAAGCATGCAGCAACTGGATATGTTGATCTCTGCTGCTCAGCAGTCGTTTACCAACGTGGAAAATTCAGGCACTTCCAGTGAGACAAAACAGAACTCACGGGACCGAGGCCGGCACAGTTCGGCAAGTGAGGTGTCCCAAACATGGACTGCTACTTTACCCTCGCAGGAAGATTCTGCCATGTTGTCTGGTGATGTCAAATTACCAAATTACCAGCAAAGGCCCCTTCAAGGGTCCCGCGTCAGACATTCTAGTGCGTCGTCGTACTCTAACAAACCACCACAGAAATCCACTGTACCGAGCAAGACTCTGCAGCAGCTCTTGTCGGTCAGACTGCCTCCCGTTACTACGGTGACCAGCACTGAACACACAGTTCCGACATCATCAACTCCTCAGATGGCCCCCGTCAAACGGAAAAGGCCCGCCATTCCAGAGGAGGAGTCGAGTTCTGTGGACAGGAAGTGGGAGGAAATCAAACAGATTCTCTACCCAGAGGACAAGCAGGTGCCCTCCCAGCCCAAGTGTAAACGACAGAGCCTGGGTAAGTTAATATACAGATTAATCAGTTTTATATTAATTAAATCCACTACTTGTTTTAAATAATTTCAGTAACAATAAATATTGCTTGGTAGTGTTCACAGTGTGTGACGAAATATCTGAAGGAGACGTAAACATATATATATATAGGTTGGCAAAATGTCAGGGTCTCTATTTTGTTTTAATAAAGGGGGTAGAGATAAAAAAAAAGGGCCCCAATAAAAATGTACATGGGATAGAAAATAAACATTTAATGCAAGTATTAAAATGGAAATAAAGCTATGGGTAGCAGTATACAAGTTCCTGACTGCTATCACGTAAATTTGAATAGGATTTTAAAAAAAAAGTGACAAATTAACACCTCTTTTACATCAATATCACAATGCTATATCCGTGCAGAGGTCGAATTCTATCTATGTAGGAAATTTTTTAAGATTAAAAAACACTGGTGGGTTGATGATATATGTGTTAACTTCACAGCATAGTAGTGCTTTCTTAAGCAATGTGACGTAATAAATGCTAGATTCGTGTGTGACGGCTTTAATGGTAGATCCCACATATATTTCCTATTGATTTTATAATACTGCCATTATTGGAAAGTTGACGTCAGTAGAATATATATTCTAATAAAACTGCTTAGTGTTCACAAAAACTTGGGTAAATTACATTTTTAAAGAATTTTTTTTATCAAATTGGCCTATTTGAGGATTGAAATTAGGTGTTATGTAATCGAAAATTGAGAGAGGAGGTGTAACACATTTATTGATGGATTATTCAACTATAAACACGTGATTATTACAGTAAATGTAGTGTGATGTCTTGGGATGGAATGTCTAGAATGGGAATGATCAATCTCCCATTGTAGTCCACTCCTATAGTCTGAAAAATCACTGGAGAGAATCCACAAAATTCCCCCAAAATACCGGGCCTTATTATTCATGTCAGAGGTATTTTCCTTCCCTTATAAGCATCATGTGGTCTGGTATCATGTAAATTATGCAGCCTAACTCTATTCCTGCCCGAAGGTGGTTGAGTCTATCATTCATTAACGTGCAGGTATACGAGCCCTGCTATGTAGCAGTTCACATTCAGTTCCGGGTAATGCAACCTCTTTTCTTCAATAATTTATTTTCTGACAAAAAAATACAGAATCTTTAAATTTTAACATTTCATTAAAAACTAAACTGAAATGTCGTGGACTACAAATTCCTTAACAACATTTGTCTTGAATGTAATAGCACAGAGATGGAAACCATAAATTTGTCAATATATTAAGGAATGCTTGTAATTTTTTTTTTTTTTTAAGATTAAAACTCATTATTATGATGTATAGGTTAAGCACCCGGGCAGTGTGACAGTTTGACAGCCACTAAACAAATAAATTGTTTTCCTCCATTATGATCAGTCTAACACAAACAGCTGGTAATAAGAGGTTAACCATGAAGGGCAAACACCTGTATAGTGCATGCGAACCAAGGTGTAGCTCGTGTACGCTTAAGGAATCTGTAGTAAACACACGTGACACGTCACAGTCACAATTCAGTTCAATTTCTTCCTCCTCTCCCCGTTATTTTGAAGCATAAACATGGTCGACCTCTGTAGATTATTTTCAATTAATTATGTAAATGAAGCGAAGCTCTGATTCCTGCACGTGATTGACCTACTTTCATATTGTCATCAAATTTCTCATTTAAGAATTAGTCGTTTTTTTTTAACAGGCTTTGAAAAAAAATATATATAATTTCCCCCTCTTCTTTTAATTTTTAAAATTTAATGTCATTTTATAGCTGTTTTTAGATAGTAAATTAAATTTATACCAGTCCGAACTTGTCAGAGATAAAAATATACTCATTAATCATTCGGAGATTCGCCCTTAGGCAAATTAATTGTAAAGCAATTTGTCGTCTAGAATGTTCTATAATGGAGTTCATCAAAGGAATATTTTCCCTATTGAATACCCATTTATTGAAATATTAATCCAGTGTTTAATATATTAGAACAGAATTTTCAAAACTGTTTTCTGAATTATAAATCCAATAGCTACTACTAGATTGGATATGAGTTGAAGAGTATTACAAAAACTTGTTTTTTTTTTTACCTAATTGTACTAAGCGTGGTTTAATTTTGTAACTAGGTCAAAAAAAGTAAATAAGAGTAAAAATAGAAATGATACAAATAGACCCAAGATCTGGTAAACAAGGAAATAAAATAATAGCTTGATTATTTGTTTCTTGCATGTTTATTTGTTTGTTCTACTAAATGAAGTATTTGTTTATCACTAGATGACTTGTTTTTTCGGTTTTATTTATTGTTTGTTTTTTCTCTCTACAGATTCTGTTGGTTCAGCACCTTCGTTTGACGACTCGGATTCAGACTCCGATATTAATGAATTCTCAGATTCAGGTACGTAATTAGCAGTCTGAAACACAGCTCTGTTGGTCTGTTGATCTGTCATGTGGAAAAAAAGTATCGCAAAACATTAAAATGTCTCCCAGTTATTAAAACAAAGTCTTAAAGATGTTGTAACTAAATTACGATCTTGATTAGGGTGCATGTGATTGGCTCTGTAGTCTCGGTAATGAATGAGATTTGTAATTAATTTCAGACTCAGAAGGCAGTCAAGAGGAATGGAGCGCCGGACGCTCATCTCGCGAGTCTCGGCAAGTCAGGAAGGACCAGTTCTTCTGGCAGTACAACATCCAATCCAAGGGTCCCAAGGGAAAGCGAGTCCGGTTTGGGATGGATGAAAACCCCCACAAAGTCCAGGATTTTGAAGATCCTGTCTTTGATTCATCTTCAGCTTCTCAGCTGGGAACCACCATCCGTCACGGAGGGAAAGCACGGAAAGGAGACGGAAATGATGTCTCCCCCAACCCAAAGAAACTCGTCCAGATCGGAGGTCAGATCAAAAAGCTAAACAAACAAATCAACAGCTTCGCTCCACTCAGCGAACTTCCCGTCTCTACGCGGAACAAGTCTAAGAAGGAGAAAAATAAGCTGGCGTCTAGGTAAGTCGCATTTAAGTGGGAAAAAAGAACGTAGTAGAAGATTTGTTACTTTTTTAATATTTTTAATCCTTTAATGTTCAAGAATCAATAAAGGTATCTGAATTGACAAAGCATCTAAATTTTTTCACAGCAACCTTAAGTGTTTATATAATCTCAGTGTTTATATAATCTCATTGTTTATATAATTTCCTTTACAGAGCTTGTCGCCTAAAGAAGAAGGCCCAGCATGAAGCGAATAAGGTGAAGCTCCACGGCCTTGACATAGAACACAAACAGCTGTTAGGTGTAATTGATACAATTAAAGAAGATCTTCACAACTTTATCATCAAGAAAGGTCCTCAGATCAAATTCTCAACTCGTCTAGAGAGTCTAATCAAGGAAAAACTAAGTAAGTTACATCATATATACATGACGTAGGCAAAATGTCCTGTAAAAAGGTATTTCAAAAATTTTGAAATGCTTTCTTTCTGGAAATATCAAAATGCAAAGTTTTTGAAGTAAATTAAGAAAAATAGAGCTTTAAAATTCATATTTTTTTGGAATCAATTTGTTGTGTACTTGAAAAAAATGTTAATTAAAGATTTTCATTTCATTTCAGCTCTGCAAGTGGCTGGAAATACCACAGATTATGTGAACAGTGTCATTTCCAAAGTTGAGGCAGGGGACCCAAAAGGGGGTCTCTTTACCAAGAAATTCTCCGTGAAAAATGATCACACATGAAATCCACGAATAAGACTTGTGTGGCATTCTGAAGCAGGTTGTGTTATTCCATTGGTCCAGGCATGAGAGTTGTTCCTAACAACCGATGAATTCTGGGAAGGTGTGATGTTCTGTTAACCACCCTCTGCATTAACTAGAGTTGATAGATGTACTAATTTGTTGTTTATTTATAGTCTCCATGTTTCCTTCCATGTTTGTCAACATTGGTACCTATATTTGTGTTTGAGTATACATAAATTCTCTGCTGTTAATGTTTATATCCAATATGCCATATTTTGTAGTGCATCGTACACATTAATACTGTTGTGTATTAGTAGTGTAGGTTTGATAATGCTTGTTTATCTTTAATATCTAATAGGAAATTGTGCAATATATTGTGTAAAAAATGACAAATTTTGTAATCTGTATATATAGTTTTCAGTGATATGCTATTGTACATAATCTAGTGTTGTGCTTTCACTCTGTGAGTAGAAATATAGCCTGATGAGAATGATACACAGTTAGTGCTTAAGATGATGTCAGAGAACCCTATTCCTTTTTGTACATATATACAAGACCCTGTAGAATGTTAGCTAGACAAGTGTATTGGAGAGAGAGGGAGGAACATTTTCTCCGTTTATTTTTGGGCTGAGATCTGCTGGCGATTGTTGCATTTAGTGATAAGATATGTTGGTTATGTAATAATTCCTGAAATTTGTTGTTTTGTTATGGATGGCGTAAAGAATTATTTTGTTATGAATGTTATTGTCTGTAAATATGTAAATTTTATTGCCACTGTTTAAATGTTTTCAATGCTCAAACATTTTCTATTGTCTCACTAGAAAAATCCATTCGCACAGTCAAATGCCATATTTACATGTCTGAAATGTAGAAAAAAGTTCTTTTTGCAAACTTTTATATTCTGTTTATGTCCAGCTTCAAGGTTTATTTAAGTGCTAAGTTTCCAAATTTTGATTTGAACTGCCGATAGAGAATAATATGACACTAGATGTGCTTTGTTTACGATTACTTTATAACTATTGTGTTATAGGTCATAGCTTTAAGAGATGTTATATTTATAACAATTTGACAAGTCCAAGATAAGAGCATTAAAACACTGATCTTGAAGAAATCAATAAATATATTTGATGCTCTTTTATTGTCTTATTTTAATTTTAAAACAGAAAAAAATGAAATTTACAGAGATGACCAAGATGTACTGCAGATTTGGGTGAATTTTCAATGTTTTTAATGTTGATCTGATACCAGTGAGTAGATTTAAATCTGTAACCTATGCAATCAGTCCAACACTACCTGTGTGATGTGTATGTTTATTCTGTGTCTTTCAGAAGCTTGAATTGTTTAAGGAGGTCTGTAGTTTATGTGCCAGTTTAGTATTGTGGAGTAATTTTTTTTTTTTTTTTTTTTTTTTTTTGGTTTTCACTTGCCGCATGTCAGTAAGCATGCTGAATGTTACAGCGCCAGTTATTAATACAGTATATCCGTTTTTTCGCGATGATTTATATTTCGCTTTTCCTGCGATCATTTTAATTCGCAGAATATAAAACACGCAGAAATTATGTCAGCTATAATGTGACCAAAAAAAAAAATATTTTTTTTTAAATTTTCAGTTGTTAAAAATAACACGCAAAATAAAAACTGGTCAAATCTACCCCTTTTTCGCAAAATTTCCAACACGCGAAAAAAAACCCCGGATATACGGTATATAATTTGATCTTGCTCCACATTTGAGTTTGCAGAATTCAGAATGTAAGACTACTTCAAACAGTGGCGTGTGAATTTTTTGCTCGAGAAGAGAATTAAGCTATGTACATAATTCTTTAACTTTGTGATGACAAAATCACTTTTGTACACGTTTTGCTATCGAGACTGTGCCATGATTGAGTTTTCAGTACTGAGAAGATTACTATAGGGCTTTCAAAACGTTGGCAATATCCTGAATTGCAAGTCAAATGCAAGAATTTGTGTCTTTTAATAAAATGTTACTCTGAAATAAAATTTTTGAAAACCATCTGTTCAGGTTTTTTCCTCTTATGGCGAAGAAATGATTGATGTCTTGAACAGTCTGTCCACTTTTCAAATCAGTCAGATGACCTCTCTCTTTGATGCAAATTGATGCAAATGTCACGGTCTAATTTTGTTTTAAAATATGAAGAGGAGTTTTGATATGTATTGTATATTGCCATGGATACTGCAAATGTAAACACGACGCATGAAAAAGGTGAAGATGATGAACAGTGATTGATTTTATAAACTACAAACAATGCAATTCTTTGAACAGGGCGTAACACAACCCCCCCGAATTCCAGAGTGGTCTCTTGCCTTTAAGCAGTAAGAATCTTCTGCTTGCTGGACTGGACAAGAAGACAAACATTCCGAAGTCATCAATTGGTATGAAACAAGTCAGTGAAATTATGACCCAGTGATAGGGTATATGCTAATAAGGTCATTAAAACAACCACAGAATGTACGAAATGCTGACTTTAAAAGAGGTTGTTGAAATCCCTTTAACATCAACTTTTGTGGATACCTTTGTGGTATATTAAGTCGACACGTGAATGGAAATACATTTTAATTAATAAAACGTTGTCGATATATCTGTTGATAAAGTTTTTAGATAACTTTTGTTTCATATGTCTTGAATTTAAAAACAGGTCTGTAAATAAAGGAGCACAATTAGTGCCTATCGGAATTCGTTTGTTGGAAATAATATCAACTTCAAAGTACTTGTGTGTAGATTCAGAGAGACTTTTACAAAGTAATTTTGTGGATGACATGTGAATTTTTTTCCGAGTTCCGTTTTTATTGAAGAAAAAACCTTAGGTTTAATTTATCGTAAGGCATGGTTGTATGTTTTGGTCATATTGGCCTTGTGATCGACCAATTTGTAGTATTGTCTGTGGTTAACATGAAATTCGTCTCCTAGGAAAAGAGTCAGTCTGATTAATATCGGATCCTCGATCCGCTCCTTTATATTTTTAATGGTCGAAGCGACCATAAAAAATTATTAAAAATAAAGGAATGGATCGAGGATCTGATTTTAATCAGATTGGGAAAAGAGTCAAATTTCTATGGTCAACAATTATCATTATGGTCTACAGCATATTTCCCTAGAACCTTAACTGTAACAAAATCTTATAATATCTCTTCGGATTTCAAGAATTATAGATTGAACTGCAAATTAATTAGCATTTTCCAACTTTTCAACAAACTATGTGGCATGGCCAAATATTAGGTGTGAAACTAAACAGAATGATTTATATCACTTTTAAGTGAAAGAGCTGCTTGTTTAAATATCTAAATTTCAAAAGGAAAAAAAAGTGTTTGTGTTGTTTATCCTTGAGGACCAACGAACTATTTTAGAGTCATTGAAAGGTTAACATTGATTTTCAAATGATGTTAATATTTCATTTATCACATTTGGATTTGTAAAGTAGAAGTATCTGGGGGGTACAAATAGCTGTAATCCATCATAAATATCATGTTATTGTGCTTCAGGTGCAGCTTAGTAAGCTTTAAACTTAACTGAACAAAAAAATAAGCCTCTGTTAGTGTACAGTGTTCAAGTCATCAAAACAAATAAGCCAAAACTCAAACGAGGGTCCCCGTGTGTGCCCAAATCACTCTAAAACCAAGTAAATCCGAACTAGGAGTACCTGTTAAATTAGCAACTGAAACTAGAATCCCTTAATTGTCTGTGCTGAAGCTAGTCTAGCTGACGTGTTGCAGGCTTTTCCCTCCACAATTTTGATATTTTATGTGCCTGGCACGTAAACTATCAAAATCGTGAGAAAAAAGACTAGAAAACTTAAGATTTTTTCGGACTGCTGTAGTATGCTGAAGTCTGCATTTAACAAGTAGCGAGGCTCGAATTTTATTGTCTTTTTTTCCTGGAGCTGAAGAGTTCCAATACTTAAAGGAGCTATGTGTTACTTTTCAATGTCTTTTTCATCAGTTTGTGCAGTTTTATATGTCTTTTAAAACAAATTTGGATAGCCAAAACATCTAAAATACTAGCATACGCGCTTTGTAATTTTTGGTACATTTTTCTTTGAACAATACAAAAATTTTCATCAATTGATATCTTTTCAAAACCCCTGGTAAAGTATGCTGATTTTTTGTCTATGAACATCTGATGGCACTATAATCTTAAATTAAGAATATTTTGAAAAAAAATATTAGTAGGTAAGGTACGTTGCATATGTCCTTAACTCAAACTCCATGTCACATTTTACGATGTATTTACAGGCACTTTACGCACAGGCACTTGTTTCGGAAATAATTTTTTAACCCATAGTATTAGTACCTGTGACGACGATACAGATATATTTCTTATTGAAAAAAAAATGAATATATTCTGATCATGTTATGAAGTTATTTATTTTTTTAAATAAGAAAAATGAGTATTGTCAAGTCTCTGTGGATGGATTGAATTCATATATATGTATATTATATAGCTTCCAATTTGTTAGCACAATGGACAAAAAAAAAATTGATTTGAATTTTGACCACATTTAAAGTACAAAATGTAGCTAACATGTCATGCTGTAATGCTCATATATAGTGATTACATATTTTTAGTAATATTTTATTAATTTATTTGTATCTCTCAAATGAATCTCTGCATGGTGAAAAGTGTAATGTTTTCAAAGAAATCAATGAAGTAAAGGACTTTTTTGGAGAAATATGTTTCATTAACATGCATGTTTATAACAGGCAGTCGCACGTACGTATCATTCCCAACCATAACTTTATACTATTGAAAATTTCCATTAAAATACCGATTGACCCCTTTTTAATTTGTTGAATTATAGTCATATATATATATAATGGCTATGTCATTTTGTAATTTTTAAATTCACCGGGCGGCAGTAGATTCAAAATTTACAACATAACAATGAGGTAGTATTGGGGGATGGGACTGAATGAAGTTTGATCCACCCACCCCACTTCAATCACACCGATCACGAAATAGTATTTTCGAGTTTCGTTTTTTTTTCCAAGTAGATTGATTTCTAAAACGATGCTACGTCGATCCCTTTAATGTCTACTTTTTAAAGAACTACTTTTTTCAAATATATAGATTTTTAATCGCAAAAGATGTAAATCTAAAAACTCTAAGGCCGGGGGGGGTGGGGGGGGGGGGAGTATATTAATCGGCAATATTTCTTTGAAATAGGAAAATCTGCCTCAAAATACCAAATACATATATCATAATTTTCCTTTCCATATTTTGTATACTCTTCCTTCTAATTTTTAATTTCGTAAAGAAGGAAAATTGTTAAATTTAACCTAATATCTGATAAATAAAAATATTTGTATCTGAAAATTGATTATAACTACCGATATTAATTTTGATTGAATTGCGATACGAAATAAGGAAGAATATGTCTTTAGAAATATTCTGCCAGTTAAAAAGTATTCTATGGGCGTTTTGTTATCAGAAACTGTTGAGTAAGAATTGACCTTTACAAACCCGCTTTGCAGTGCATGTCTGTATGTGCTTCAGTTCAAGTCACCAAAAACGCAAACCTCGGTAGAATCCATACTACATGTAGTTAGTGACTTAAATTTGCCGCTTTTTATAAAATTTTTTTTTTTTTTCTAAATGAAAATCCGATTTGTTTCTCATTCTATTCAAGATTTTTTCACTCAGTTTAAGTCAATTTTCCATTATTATTATAAACTGGCTTGATATTATATATTATAAAAAAAAATTGTTGGGATGATAAGGGGGAAAATTGATTTTGGAAAGAAATTGCTGGTCGATCAAAATAACAAATTTTGATACCATCCCTCACCTCAGGATAATCTCGCAAGGGGAAAATCACGCGAGATAAGACGAGATGAAATATGGCGGCTTATTTTCAAAACAAAAAGATAGTCGATGAAGAAAAATAATGAATCATTATGACAAACAGACAGGTGCATATTTATTGTTTTAATATTTTACAGATTATAACACACAGGCATGACATTTTAGCAGAACATGAAAGTTTTCGTTTATCTACATTGACTCCAATCAAAATCGATAACGCTCACTTGTTGAAACTTGTTCAAGTTGTTGCCCGCTGTCAATAGGTATACTTCATATGTCAATGGTGGATACGACACTGATAGTTTAGGTTTCCCAAGTGACTGAAAGACCTATCTAGGCTTTCATATTTTTTTTTACACCCAGAAATAAGTTGCATGTATTTGCAAAGTAAGTAAGCAAAGTAATTTACTAATTACCTTCTTGTGAAATTATGATCATAAATAAAACAAGGGCATTGATAATTGCAATAACATGTAAATACATGTGCATTAAATGTTGTTGTCAATTTTACACTTCTTCTATTTAATATAGAAAATGCAAACTAATAAAATCAATTTTATGAACTATGTCAATGAAGTAGAAAATGTCAAATATGAAGCATTTTATTTAATTTTTAGAATGTATGTTATATCTGAAAACTTAAGACATTTTTATTGAATCATTCATTTTATCAGTAGTGTCTAATTTTCAATCAGAGGAGAGAGCGAGTTTTTAAACAATATTAAATAGGCTATAGATAAGTTAAAAAATAATTGCTAATATAATCTTGAGCAACCTTGCAAGTATTTTATTTTCCTCTTCTTGCGTTTTATTTTTATATTGTTTTATGTAGGTTTGGTTCTCTCTTCCTATTGATCCTTGGATTGAAGACAACTGTGAAGAGTTCTCTACCAGGTCATTAGAAAGTCAGTTCTCCGTGTCCAGTTTATCCCAGCAGACCACTAGATCAAGGGAAATAAACCGACTGAATTACTGCCAATCCATAAACCAAGGACCTGTCCCTCGGCTAAATCTAAACCTTCAGGAAAATACACACAGCATTCACACATTTAATCTATCAGCCAGGAGTTCACTATCTGCATATTCTGATCGGCTTTCCCAGGTGTCTATAGAATTAGAATCAGCATCTTTGTCACAGATTTCTTTAGAAGACACAAATAGTTCTAATTATCATAGTGTAGAGGGACTGGAAGTTACAAAGGTCAAAGATATCCATCATGCCAATGACGCGGGTGTAAAATATACAATAAACAATATGGAAAACAATGGTAGATCATCCATAGATTCTGGGGCAATGAATCAGGTAAGATATTGCCTAAGAATTCGCGGGTTTTAATAAAAATTGTGTGCAAGGCATTATAATTAGGAATGTCAAAATATTTATTTTCCTTAGTCGAACATTCGATTGCATTATTTGAACGATAGTCGACTATTCGGAGCATATCTTTTAAAAAAAATCTCATCGATAGTGTCTTTAAAAATAAAAAAAAAACTTTTTCGTAAATTTATGTAAAAAGTAACATTAAATGCCTATATATACTTTGTGTTACACACCGATATTCAGATGATCCTTAAGTTGGGATACGATGTAGAAATGAAATAGATTTACACCAGCAATTGATTCTCCAAAATGTATGAAATTTCATAACTTGAATCAGAATCATAAATTGGTCGGTACTTTCTTTTGTTCTAGTACACTTAGAGAATTGTCAGCACATTGTTTTTAAAGCTTACTCAGTATTTAAAATAAATTGGAAAAGGGGAGGAGATGATTGTTTTAATAATTATCGAAGTTTCAAAACTTCACGGCTATGCTGTGTTTCTATAGCATAATTTAAACATTCTTAGAGGTAATAAATAAATTTATAATTGGTACAAGTCCAATTAATAATTTTCAAAGTCCAGTAAAGCGCTGCATAATTTACTATGATAACAATAAAGGTCAGTAATTGAAAATTATTATTGCGGTATGTAATTACTGTACTTTCTATGTTTACAATGTAGAAACTTATTTATATACTGTGACTGTGTTTAAGCTCTTATTCGTCAGAGAATGGATACTATAATGGTTTTAGGAATGGCGCTTTACGATTTTGAGTTGCTCAAGAATTCTTTACCCCCCCTTTTTTTTTTGCATTTATCAAATATTCGAATGTCGTTTCATTATTCGATCGTCGGTCCATTCGACTGACAGTCGAATAGTCGACTATTTGTTGACATCCCTAATTATAGTACAGTAATGTTTCTGAGAAAAGAGTCAAGCAATTATTAATTTACATATGAATTATTTTGGGAATATATGTATTAAGGGTTTCATGGTTTTCAAAAGATTTCTGCACAGAAACGTAGGTGTTTGTAAATTCTTTATATATAACTACTAACAGTTGTAATTTATGCATTAAAATTGTATTAACATTATATTCCACATGAGATCCTCGAATGACAGTCATAAAATCTTTCTATAATTACTATTTAACAGTCATAATTTACACAATATAAGTGTATTAACATTATATTGCAGACGGGATCTACTAATGACAGTCATAACGGGGATTCCAGTCGGGCCTCTCCACTCCGCGGATTATCTTCTGATGAAGGATCTGGATGGAAATCAGAAACAACAGAGAACTCGGATGGTTAGTCTTAATCCATTCAACTTTTGAAATAAATACCGGGGTATTACGTTATCTGGTGTTTGTTTTTTTAACAGACAAAATAAATTATTGGTTTTACATGTAGTTCAAGTTTCCCTCGTTTTGTTGATGTGCATACCTGAACAGATGCTTTATAATTCTGAGAAGTTTTGAAAAAAGTGTGAGAAAAGATATTTCTTTTTGCTGGCTATTTCATTTGAAAGTGAATTTGTAAGGTTACAGAATTATATACATGGTTATAAATGATCAGTACTGGATGCCATAATTTATATTCAAACTTGTGATTTAATTTAAGCCCTAATTCCTATTGTGACTGCCCTGTTATAGTTACTTATTAATATACAGGTCCCTCTGTCTGATTTTGGTTTTGGTTTTTAGGTAATATTTGTCTATATGTATGTCTAAAAAGCTTCATTTCTTTATCTACAAGTAATCTTTGTCTGTCTGTCTGTCTGTCTAATTAAGCCTTGTTTCTTTATCTACAGGTAATCTTAGTCTGTCTGTCTGTCTGTCTGTCTAATTAAGCCTTGTTTCTTTATCTACAGGTAATCTTAGTCTGTCTGTCTGTCTGTCTGTCTGTCTAATTAGGCCTTGTTTCTTTATCTACAGGTAATCTTAGTCTGTCTGTCTGTCTGTCTGTCTGTCTAATTAAGCCTTGTTTCTTTATCTACAGGTAATCTTAGTCTGTCTGTCTGTCTGTCTAATTAAACCTTGTTTCTTTATCTACAGGTAATCTTTGTCTGTCTGTCTGTCTGTCTAATTAAGCCTTGTTTCTTTATCTACAGGTAATCTTAGTCTGTCTGTCTGTCTGTCTAATTAAGCCTTGTTTCTTTATCTACAGGTAATCTTAGTCTGTCTGTCTGTCTGTCTAATTAAACCTTGTCTGTCTGTCTGTCTGTCTGTCTGTCTAATTAAGCCTTGTTTCTTTATCTACAGGTAATCTTAGTCTGTGTATTTGTCTGTCTGTCTTATTAAGCCTTGTTTATTATCTACAGGTAATCTTAGTCTGTGTATTTGTCTGTCTGTCTTATTAAGCCTTGTTTATTATCTACAGGTAATCTTAGTCTATCTGTCTGTCTGTCTGTCTAAATAAGCCTTGTTTCTTTATCTAAGGCCATCCTTAAAAAATTGTTTTTTTGTCTGTCTAAATAAGCCTTGTTTTTTTTTATCTAGGGAATTTTTTTTTTTTGTCTGTCCATTTTCTAATTTTAGCCTTGTTTTTTTATCTCCATTGCACCTACACCGTTTTTAAAAAAAAGAACTGATGTGTTCTGTCAATATTAAGCCTTGTTTTCTTGTTTGATTAGTAACTTGGTGAAATCTTAGACTGTGTATTTGCCTGTACATAATCGAAATTTAGCCTTGTTTATTATCTACAAAAAAAAAAAAATTAGCCTGTCTACCTACCCACACCTAAATAAGCCTTGTTTCCTTTTTAAGGATGGCCTAAAGGTAATCTTAGTCTGTGTATTTGTCTGTCTGTCTAATTAAGCCTTGTTTATTATCTACAGGTAATCTTAGTCTGTCTCAGTACGCTATCGGCGGGGACCACTCGGAAGAGGATTCACCCCAGAACAGTGTCCAGGAGGAATTCTTAACATCAGCCATCTCAGAGGTCTCGAAGGACTTCATTTCGGGTAACTTCTCCCCCTCAAAATACCCAGGGGCCTCGGCAGAAAGTGACAGCTTGTCAGACGGGGATAATCAGGGGCACCTGTCCGGCGCTGTATACGCCCGGTATCCAGAGTCTGCCACCGGAATGTCAGACTGTGAATGGAATCCCTACGCCACAGAATCCGATACGAACCACACACCACGATCGAATGCCAGCGAAGCAATTACAGCTTCCGCTGCAATTCCCACTATCGCTCCATTGAAAGACAATGAATTTATGGCTAAAGAAGACAGACTTGAAGAAATTTATGCCCAACAACTTTCAAGGAACAATTCCTCTACCAAGAGAAACTCACCACCGAGCCCTAGTGCTAAGTCCTCAGATTCAGGGAATGGGAGTGTCAAGTCCTCACTGAAAGAGGAGGACCTGAGTCATCACCAGCCGTCTGCATCCTACGTTCTCTACTCCACAGAAGTCAAGTCCACAAGTTCTCAGGGGAAGATATCAGCATCAGAGAGTGATTCCACAGTGAGGGCCTCTGAAGGGTCCAGTAACTCGGACTCAGACAAGTTATCATCTAATTCATTTATTCCAATTAGCTACAAAGCTTCAAAGTCAGATTCTCAAGTACCTCATCAGAGACCAGAGCCACTTGGAGGCCGGTCTGATGAATGTTTATATGCCAAGAGGACAACCTCTTGTGACCCAGTCAGGGCAGCAGTATCAAGGGGCGGGTCAGACTTCAGAATGACAGATTCTGAAGGATATCTACCTGTGGATGAAAGAAGTAAATTGTTAAGCAAACCACAATCTTTTGATCCTCCCATGAAAAAGTCAGATCTCCAGACAAAGTCACAGGGTGGTAGATCTACAGAACCGCTAGATGTTTCTCAAGGTTTGGAGGAAGATGCTTTATCCCAGAGAGTAGCAAAACTGTTGAACAGTGCTAATGAGCTGGGTTCATCTCTTCATCAGAGTCTCTACAGCAAAGAGGCACTGGGAATGAGTGACCGGGAAGACTTCCCAAAGTACAAGTTCTCTCCTGTACGTTCCCAGTACCCAGGACTGTCCACACCTAGCCCAACCATGGGAAACTCTACTCAGGAAGATCTGACAAAGTCGGCAAAATCAATGGCATCTGATGCAAGTCTGAGGTCATCACTAGGAGAAGAAGTTGCCAAGCTTCTTGCTCGCACAGAAAACATTCCTGGTAATAAACACAGTGAAGACGTGTCTGCTGCTAGTGAACCAAGCAGTAAGACATTTATACCAATTCCTCAGGAAACTCAGGCTGACATTGAGCCTAACAGTAGAAACAAGAAAACTGCAGCAAATGGACATGCCAGGCACGAGTCAGAGGACAGTCAGAAGTCAGAGGATTCACTGGACCATAAAGTAAAGGAGATATTACAGAGAACTTCTTATGTGGAGAAGAAGCAGGTCCCAAGAAAGGTCGACCCCTCGGCCCTGGATTACTCACGTTTACAGAAAGATCTGCAAGAGATTCAGAACAGTCTTCCCGTCCATCTCAATCAGGACAACTCTCTGGATGTGACAGGAGAAAAAGAGACTTTTGGAGATAGCCTCAAAGTCAGTGAAAAGTCTTTTGTGTCGGAGGCCGAGAGTGCACAAAGTGGTGGAAAGAAACTTCTGTGGGACCATGGAGCAGACCTAGGGTATGAAGACAGTGAAAGATTTCTGGGAACGATGAAATCAGATACAGAGACAATGGAGGCTAGTCCTGGATCAGTCAATAGAAGCTATGAGTCCTCAGGAAAATCCAGCCAGAAAACCAAGGATGAGAGCACAGAGAAGGATGACACTTCAGACGTAGTGTCTGATCAGCTAGAGGTGGAGATTGATGAAATTCGTATTGGTAATGTCGCACCAGATGTTGAGGAGATCATTGCAAAGTACCAGAAGAAGAGTGGGCCTGCCTTAATGGAGCCTCAGTTTGAGGAGGATACAACAGGACTAGCCAACAGAGTTTTCCAAATCCTGACCACAGATCACCCACAAAAACAGGCCACAGGGATACTGGAGAGGGTTGTCAAGGAGGAGGGAAAACTCATCCAAAAAATGGCGGAACTTCCAAAACTGGATTCCAGTTATGATGGCTATAATCTACCCTCAGCAGACAGCAGCTTCGCTCCGAGGGATAAAGATATCAGAAAACAGCTGGAGTGGTCCGAGATGAGTTCCCTGGACTATGGTCACCCCGACAAGACTGGACTCTCAGAGATGTCATTTAAGACTGGCCTGCCCTTCAGTGCCCTTGGAAATGCTAAGACATTCCTGTCATCTCAGTTACAGAAAATGTCTGACCAAACATTTAATCACAGCATTGAGCTGAGAACACCATACAGGAATGTGGTAGAATGTTACACTGTGTATGGCACAGAGCAGAAAGGAGCCTCAAAAGAGGCATGGCCACCAGAGGATAAGCAAGGGAGGCAATCTGAGACAGGGCAAGGGAGAGAACCCCGCGCTGATAGAAACAGAAGGGAAATAGATCCATTGTCAAAGTAAGTGTCAGAGACATGTTAAACATTATATGTTGCTTGTTTGTATTTTATGTCAGAATTACTGCATGATAATTAGTGGCTAAGGAATCGTTAGAGGCTTATATACATGTATCTCCTACTTTACGATAAAAGTGTTGAATGCAAATATATATATATTTATCATAAATAACAGTGTAATTCTATACTTATTCTAGATAATAAAGTCTTAATTGTGAATTCAGCACTTTAAAACAAAGACAAAAATGTATTGCCAGTCTAGGAGAATGTTGCTTGCTACTAGTTTTGAGCTGTATATCAGTATGAAACATTTAATATCAATTTAAAATAAAATTGTTTGCTAATGGGTCTAATAAATATATTTTAATAATTTGGAAAGGGGGGCTTTGTGGAGTTTTACCTAATTTGAGAGGAAAAAGGATTTGGCAAAGATTTTTCTCTTTTCCTGACTCTTGCAATCAAAAAACTGTTGTAATTTTAGAGCATACTGATCCACAGCTCTATATGTTCTGAATACACATATAAACTTATATCACCATTGTTTGTATGGCGCATGATCTGGTGTCACCACATTGTCTACTGCTAACATGGCTGCATGCACTTCACTTTACAGCGAGAGGTTTTTCCTTAACTCTTTGGACACTACTCCTGTAGAGTTAAGGCCGCGTCGCTATAGTGACCCTAGAGAGCTCTCCCCAGAGGGGTGGAGAAGCAGGTAACAGACATGTTTGTAAAACTTAATTCAAATTTTACTGGTCAACTTCTCACATTTTAACTTCAAGAGAATTAAAATACAACTTCATCATGTTCATAGTAAAATGGTAGATAGAATATGGCTCCCTGAAATTTTTGCTAAAAAACTTTACGCATAGACTTGACAGTACACTATTGGTGTGGGTTTTTTTTTTGTTGTTATATAAATTAAGACCATCTGTCTCCTTTAGACATGTAAACATCATGTGGGCCAGGCAACTATGCCAAGGATTTATATATCGATTACCAAATCAGTGTATGATGTAAACATGATTGTTTTCTTATTTTACAAGAAATAAGGAAAGAAATGCCAAAATTCTTCATTTACATAATGTGTAATTATGGAATAATTCTATTTGTTTATTATTCCTAGATGTTACTAATCTAAATTGATTAATCAGGAATTAAGCAAAGAAATAAATTTGATTTAGATGTATATACTAAGTAATTTTCATTATTGGTAACAAATTCCTGACTTAGGAATTATCCTGATGTCTCCTACTGTAGGGTGGTTTTCATCATTCATCTTCTCTTTCAATAAGGGAAGGCCATAGCAGAAGTAAATCTGAGGATAGCAAGTCCATCTTACCAGACAGTGACCTACAAAGGGACATGTCACGACCCCTGACCTCATCAAGGTGAGGCAAACTCTGAAATTGACTACATGAATCTAGAAAAAAAATTAAAATTAGAATCTTGAAAAAAAAAGTTAACTTGATACTAATTGATAGGTTTATTTAATTTAATTATCCCAATTTGAAAGAATATTTTTTTAATAAGAGTTTCTTTTTTGTTTATATAATTTTGACCTTGACCTCTGACTCTTTTAAGTAGCATAGGAGGAGCCCGACCCAAGAACATGTTGTCCTCAGGCCAGAGATTGGAGGGACACTCGGATGGTACTCCCCCCAGTAAGTACACATGTACTAACACACATCATAAGATAAAGTACACAACTGCAGATTTCATGTTCAGAGTAGATCTTCATCATTTACATACAGTCATAGTGAAAGTACCAATGGCCAATGGGCATGTATATCTATTGGTGTACTGTATTTATTTTTTAAATATTAAAACATTTTTATAGGTAATGGAAATTGGTCCATAAGAGTTTTCTGATAACTATGATTTTTTTCTTTCTTTACTGTAAGCTGAATGGATTGGACAACAGACAATGTCTACAAATACAGTCATATTCATTTTCCATTAAAGAAATTGTCATAGAAATTTATTACATAAATATTTGCAATACAAAAATTGGTAAAAAATATTTTTTAGTTGGTAGAAGAAAGCCATACAAACCTAAGCTGAAAGGTACTTGGTTTATGTTGGTTTACTTGTTACTGTGGTATTTTATATTAATCAATCAAAGTACAACCTGTCTAGTTTTCTTCCTGGAGATCTGTCCATTAAATATTGCATTTTAGATTGTCAAGAGCATGTTCCAAGTTCTATTAATTTTATAAACCAATACAGCAATACAGGCTACTAACAGATAAGTTGATGTAACAGAGGTTTCAATAACCTGTTTAAAGTCAGCAGAATTTCATGTAATTGAACAACACTAAATTCAAAATGAACAATACATTTATCAGTTACAAGTTATTTACTCAGCTTTACAAAATACTTCTTACATTTTCAATCCTATAAAATACAAAAAAAACAAAAAAAAAACAAACTATACATGGATAAAGACTTCTGCAGGAGATCGCAATATGTTTGATTCAATTCTCCAGATGCCATTTTACTTAAAACGAACCAATCTTATATAAAAATAATCTCATAAAACTTAACAAAATAAAATATACAATAAAAGTTTGCTTAAGAGAAAACATATCAAACACTCTACACATTAACAGTTCACTCATGTTAATGAAAAGAAAGTAATTTTTGTCTGAATACCATATGGTTACTTACCCCAGTATTAAGGAGGATGTTGAAGCTATGTATAAAATATTTTTAATAAGTTCAGATAGCCGAAATTCAAAATATCTTTCTAAATTTGATTTATTACTTGTTATATAGATGGGACTTTTCTGTAAGTTATACAATTTAAATCAATCACATTTCAAAGATATAAAAAGCATTTTAAAAAATAAGTGATTTTTATTTACCAACTCCACATTTTTAGTCCAAAAATTAGTGAAATTTTAATTTGAACATTAATACATGTAATACATATCATGTATATCTAATCTCCATCTTGTTACATACTATTTTTAGCTCAGATAAGCCTTATATAGCTTTAATATACCAAACCATTCAGTGTCTTTATGTCTGTCAATCCTTCAAGCATTCTGATAAAATACATGCTAAGTCATGCTTTCAATTTGAAAAACTGACTGATATTGAAAACATAACATAGGGGCTTAGTCTTATCCACATGATGTCATGGTAACATTTGTGACATCATACCTTTATTACGTCATAATACAGTTAAAGTTAAGTAAGGTACATGATTGAGGTAAGTTAAGGTCAAGTCAAACAACAACAAAAATACAGTTGTATAGTTTTCTAAAGAGAAGTATTGAAAAATTGATTTTCTGAAATTTTGATTTACTCTTGACCAAAAAAAGAAAATGTTCAGATTTTAAGACACTCTGGAATGTAACACTGTAAATCAAGTTTCAGATGGTGAGTAATAATTTCTGAGTAAAACAATCAAGATTCAGAATTAAATTCAGAACATCAGTACCACCCTAAATTTACTGCTAGTCAACAGCAAGGTATTAAATGTTAATTACCCTAGACATGAATATTCATCAGGGAGAAAATTTCCATTAATGGTTGTGGAGTCATAGCGTAACAGTTTGGATCGCTTGAATTGTGACAGATTGAACTATAGGCTGTGTTGTCAACACTAATTATACAACAGTGCAAAAATGTTAACAATAGGGTCACACAGATGTACATCAGTGCTTATGTCCTTATATAATCATGTCAAATGAATCACAAAGGTTAGAGGTCATAGACTTTCTAAATAAGGCTGAAATGTAGCAAATTTTAAGATTTAATTAATGCAAACAAGAAAATCATTTAGCTCATGAACAGAGTTCCAAATTTACGGCAGGTCAAGGAAAAATAATTTCCTGGAAAATGATTATACACCTGAAAATCAATGGAAGTCTCTAGAATTAATAGAAAGCTCTGGAACACTAAGGCATTCACCTCGTGTGTCTTCATGTTTCCACCGGCTACAAGCTTGTACACAGATGTCAACTGGAGTCAGAGACGCAAAAGATTTCAATTAAATTATAATTAAGCTCTAATTATGTTTCAACCTAATTATAATGATCCGTCATTTTTTGTAACAGGTTTACCATTTACATGTTAAATGAGATTAAATTCTTCACATACAACAAATTGCACATTTTATTAAATATCTAAATTTATAGATATATAAAGATAGTTTACAATATATGCTACAATTTCTATTTAGCTATCTAAAAGTTTCAAATATGAATATGCCTTTTGCTTTTAATTTTCTTGTTTATTTATTTTTGTCTTCCCTCTTTATTATTTTTTAAATTTGATTTATGATATTAGGAATACTTGATCTGTCATTAATTTCCATAAGTCCAGGAGAAACAGGAAGTTAACTAGACAGTCTCATAAGAATCTGTTTGTGGTTACTATGGTTACCCATAGCTTCTCCGATTTTCTTGTGTTTTTTGGTCATTAATTTGTTTGTATACACTAGCATTCACACGTGAGATGTGCAGGTCACTAATAGTGGGGCACTCCTACACAAATTTAAATTAATTGTAATTAATTATCGAAATAGATCCATGCTGTGCTAATATTAGAGTAATAAGAATTAGTTAACAGATATTTCATTCTCTTAATGTGTTTTAACATCAACATGATCAAAGTGAATTATTATCACAATACATAAGAGGATTCTTTTATTAAATATTTTAGTACAACAGAACTAGAATAATATGTTTCTTTAAGCACGTATCATTATGGCAACTCCCTGTTATTTAATCTTTGGAATAAGTACATATTAATTAATAACAGTTCTGTTATTATCCTTTGTTATTAATTAAAAAAGTATTTATACATTTATTGAAGTTTAGCTGGAAACAGTTTATTGGATTATAATATCAAATGCTAAATTTAGCAAGTTTTATCTTAAAAGGTAACATTTATTGCATTCAGTAATAAAAGGGAAAATGTTAATTTTTTTTCTTGGAAATGAAATGTATTTGATTGAATTATAAAAGAAATTTAATTTCAGCATTACCAGGACTGTCTTCATCAATATCAGAATTCAATAAAAATTTGAAAAAAAAAAAAAACTAAGTCTATTATGAAATATTATTTTAGCGATTGTTTCTATATTTAGTATAACTTATTTACATACTGTCCTTGGAGCAGGAAGTCCCTTGAGAGATTCCCATGTCAGTAATTTTAGTGATTGTATATTACCAGTATTTGTAATCTATTTATAGACTCCAGTCCTGGGAGTGGGATGTCCTCTGAGAGATTCCCATGTCAGTAATTTTAGTGATTGTATATTACCAGTATTTGCAATCTATTTATAGACTCCAGTCCTGGGAGTGGGATGTCCTCAGAGATTCCCATGTCAGTAATTTTAGTGATTGTATATTACCGGTATTTGTAATCTATTTATAGACTCCAGTCCTGGGAGCGGGATGTCCCCAGGGGATTCCGATGTCAGTAACTCTAGTGCATCCCATCGTAGAGATGGACCCAAGCTAAGACCATACAGGTCTGTTATTTACTCTTACATTTTACTCTATAATAGTAATGAGAATTTTGATATTCAATATCAAAAGGCCAAAAGATAATTTAATAATTATGTATTATGTAGAAAATTAGCCTATTTTTATAAAACTTAAAGACGTACAACACACTGGGGGAGATTTGCGATTTCATTTATACGACTCCAGTCCTGACGGAGTGGGGATTGAGCACAAGATGTATTGTCACAGTTAAACATGCTATATAAAGGATTCAGATATATGCAAAAATTGGGATATGGGGCTTGGTTGTGATTGTGCACCATGTATTTTTTTAATTAACCCGATTAAACTCCGTAAAAAGCAAGACATAAAATATTAATACCATCCCTTAATGTTTATTTCATTTCATTTCATATGTATACAATAAATTGTATTTTTGATCAAAGCGCAGCATTTTTTTTATTCTGAAAATTTTATTTTACATTGCCAAAATTCTCATTATGTACAACTGGCTATATAACATTCTGATTAATGGTCTTCGACTTCATTACAATTTGTGCATACACGATATAAATATTGTTTTTCTTCTTTAATTAAATAAAACAACAATAAATAAACAATAAACTTTTTACAATGTAAAATCGATGTTGTTCTCAGACCCTAACTGATCAAAGAGGAACAACTCTGAAAATGTAGGAGATGTTTATTTTCCTCCCTTTATTCTCGGTTTTCCACAGAATCAGATACATTAGCAAGACCTGATAAATCCGAGAATTGAATACTATAGACCTCATATACACAATGTAAGTATAGAATTGAAAAGAATTGCTCACTTGCACTGAAATTATCTGCATTTATGAATATCCTATTGCAGCAAATCGTAACTTTGACTTTCTGTCAACAATGTTTCCTCGGTAGCCTAGCAATGTGGGATTTGATATAAATTGAAATAGATGAAGAGTTTAATGTTTGATATTTTGAAGTTAATGTGAACAAATACGGAATTTTCATTTTAACTATAGAAGCGACGACATTGAAAGAAATGCGTACAATATCATGAGGGGTGTACATGTACATCTAATACAAATGTCGAGTGCATCCTCGTTTGAAATAATGACATGAAAGAAACTAGGAGAGTTGAACATATACCATTTTTATAATGAATAAAATTAAAGAAATAAAATTAAAAATCAACATATTCAAGTTCAACAAAACTTGAATTCATATCCAGATTTCCATAACGCATACGTTTATGGACTAAACACTAAAATCTTTCAGTAATTTTTTCCTGATACACTGTGCATATAAAAAGAGTAGTCAATATTTACATTTTAAAAACTCTATAAAATACCAGTATATTTGAGAATTTTGATATTCAATATCAAAAATTGGCTTTACAAAGAGATTTTAATTTAATAATATATTTTTGTATTATGTAGAAAATTAACAAAGCCTATTTTTATAAAACTGGTCGTACAAAAATTAATTTGTTATTTTTACTACCAGTTTTTTTTACCAAAATTAAACGTAAAAAAATTTTGATGAAATATTGTAACATTTCATATGAGCTTTTCATGTAAGAAATTGATTAACTGATGATTTTGGGTTTTGACAGGCCCCCCAAAAACCACTGGTAAAATATGCATACATGCAGTAGATATAGTCATGTACAAAATATACAAAAATAACGAAAATTAAACGAAGTTTTTTTGTATTGTGTTGTACACACAGAAACATTTCATATGAGCTTTTCATGTAAGAAATTGATTAACTGATGATTTTGAGTTTTGACAGGCCCCCTGGCGGACAGTGTCACCACACTGGAAAGTACACACACAGGTCAGGTCAAAGGTCACATCCTCAGCTTACAGCATCGTAGACATGCGCATGGAATTTTTAATTTATAGTGCTTTATTATTTGCATGATCCTATCCTGAAATTACAGTACCCTCTCTCGATACAGCTCTGTCTGTTGTGATTATCTTTGTAGTTAGAGCTAAACATACTGAGCTAAACAAAATGCATGTAACTTGATAGAATCTCTGGCTTTTACTATAAGGATAACACCCCATCCCCACTTCACCCTCCTTACAAACAAAAGATAAATTTTAAACAGTAATGTACAATTATGCACAGAATTTAAGTTTAAATAAATTCTTGTCATGATCGTACAGTGTATTTGATTTTTGTAATACTGACATAGGATTATCAGAAATGGCCATAAAACTGTTGAGTGTTGAGAAATCATTACCAAGGAAATGAGGAATTGATGCTGTTGTTTTGAAAGAATGATATTTTCTCTACCTGATACATAACAATTTATACTCCTAACTGAAAATCCTGGATCCACCCTTGGTATAGCCTTTAGAAACTGCCAAGAAATAATGGAATAAAAAGAAATACCTCACAAATACTACTCACATTTATTTCATAAAAAAATTAGTGTGTGAATTTGATAGTGAATTCTCCTAAAATCAGTGATGTACAGTACTCTACACTTTCACTTTCACTTTGAATTCATCCTCTCACCCTTACAGTGTCACTCAGGCGAGTTTTACGGGGCACTAGAACTTCCCGTATCCGAGGTAAACAAAGTGTGACTAAACAGTCTTGTCCTGTTACTAATATTTATTTTGTAGCTTGGAGATTTTATTTCAGCTTAACTCCATTAATGGATCAGTTTTGCTTTATTTAACACATTTTGTAATCTGTGACTAATCATGTGTGCAAGAATGTTTTGATTTGTTGAGATGTAAGATTATTATTCGAATATTATTTTAATGGCTAAGACGTAAATTAATCAGGAATTTATCACAATAGTCATCACGTTTTGATCACAAAATCTCACATGTTGGATTAACTGAAACCACACTAGTACATGTAGTATACAAAATACCATTCACATACAACTTAAAAATCTATTTACATGTCAGGCAATGTTAGATTTGTTTTATATTTATCAGGCTCTGATGATGCAGTGGGTCCTTACATTCCTTCCCAACACCTAGGAAGCAGACAGGATGGTCCCAGATCCTCTGGTATCTATGGTAACCGGAGTAATTTGGATGTCGTTGAGGATGCTCTGTCAACAATTGAGGAGAAATCCATTTCTGTGAGTTTTCATTATTTATAAAATAAAGATTGAAATGAAGTAAAACAAGCATCTCTCATAAAATATAAATTGTTAGATTCAGATAGGAATGATCAAGAACCTGAGCTGCAGTTTCTCTGTTAGAATTGAAAATCTGGTCTCAATTTTGAATTTGTTATATTAAGATAACTAAATGAGTTGATCTCTTTTCCAGGATGACAGAGAGCGAGCCATGAGTGACCTTGCCAATCCTTTAAGTGACTTCTACAAACGAGATAGTGGTCTAGAACACAGCTCTAGGGTCCCCATGGCAACAGACAGAGCTCCCTCTGTTGGTAGTGATCACTTCTCTAACAGGAGTGGTTCATCTAGGGCTAGCAATCATCTGCAGAGTCATGACCAGTCCACTGGACTCCATTCCAGTCAGCCCCATAGTTCTGAGGGAGGCCGTAATTTTGATAATTTCTATGAAGACAGTAGGATGTCCATGACAACGCGATCAGATCCTGGTGACCAGTTTGCTACTCCCCGACGTGTGCGTGATGTTTCAACAATTTCGGGTCAACAGGCACACATCAGTAGGGAGAACAGCAGTGATAACCTTGTTAAAAGTAAGTCAAGGTCAGAAACTGACCTTGTGGCGATGAGTCCTGAGGGAAGGCAGATTTCCTCCTCTCCCGCTTCCCGTGGAAGACTGATGGATATGTCTGCCCAGCCATCACCCATCTTGTCTTATCCAAATTCTCTTATCTCTCCTGCGTTTCAAGGAGCAGTGAGAGAGTTAAATGAGGCAGACAAAATTCTAAATCAAATATTTGGCCCTGAAAGCAATAGTGACTTATTAGATACTAATGGAAGGAAAGGAGGTTCAGATAGAGAATCAGATAGAAATCCCATGGTGAGAGATGTTCCATACTCATCTAGGAGGCCAGCAGAGGATGAATATAGCAGAACTAATGTACAGAGTAGACAACCTCAAGAAGAGGTGAGGAGAAGAGAAGATTATGGAAGTAGAAGGTCTCCAGTTGATGACTATAGCAGAGGAGCTGTAGTGCAAGGGAGACAACCACCAGAAGAGATTAGCAGAAGAGAAGATTATGGAAGCAGAGGACAGGTGGATGATGTAAATGAGAGGAGGAGAGATAGAGATGATGGAAGACCATTAGAAAGAAGGTCAGGTGATGATAGGTTGCTTTCTGAAGATAGAGGAAGAAAGAGCCCAGGAGAGAGACCAGAGGAAATTCAGCCTGAGTATGTCAGATCCAGGCCACAGGGAGAGGAGGTCTATGAATACACCAAGAAAGAAGACAAACTGGACCGAGCCACTCCCAACCAGTACGACAGTCTGGGAGACATCATGAAGCAGTACCAGAGTCGGCCCCTGGAACCAGGCCGGGAGTCACTGGACTACGACTCCAGACCCAGGTCCACAGACCCAGGGAGAGATGGGTACACCGTTAGTGCTGCCTCAACTCGACCAGCTTACTACCCATCCAGAGGAAACATTGGCTCAAGGTCTGACCGGTTACAGGATGTAGACATTCCAAGAACATCAGCCTACTCAAGGCCAATAGAAGATGATAACATAAGATTGGACAGAAGACAGGATACAGAAATTCCTCCAAAATCTTCTTATGCAGTGGAGAGTAGCTACAGCACTCGACCAGCAGAGATTGTATCTAGTGAGAACATTGCTCAAGACAGACCTAGGTCATTTGAGAGTCGACCACTTGAACCAGGATCTGATCTGTATCAATCAAGAGCTGCAGTGGAATCATCCGGCTTCTATAGTGGGCGCAGTGACAGTGATAAGGAATACAAGAGAGTTTCTCCACTAGAACCAGGTCGTGGCTTAGAAAGCAGATCTTTGGAAACTGGAGGTGACCTTCTGTACAGATTGGGGAGAGAAGATACATTAAGTCAGCCCCTAGAACCGGGGAGAGGTCTAATCAGTCAGCCATTGGACATGGTTACTGATTTACCTTACAGATCTGGAAGTGACCTTTACCAACAGAAATCTGTCACGGACCATGATCCTTACAAATCTTCTTCAGCTGATCTCCTGGAGACAGTAACCAGGCAAGCACTAGATGATGTGTCAGCTAACCAGGAAAGGCCAAAGGTTGACAAACATGATTATATTGAAAGAGAGAGGGGGCGGTCTCTGGATAGGGGTCAGGATTATTTGGACATGTTTATACCACGGGCCATAGACAGAGAAACAAGAAGAGATTGGTCTGATGAGAGAAGATCTGAGGGTCAAAGGTCAAGGGAAAGGTCATCTGAAAGACTGAATAGGTCAAGGTCACCAGCAAACAAAAGCAGTGAGAAGGAGCTGAGGGAATATGTAGTAGATGGGGAAATTTTCACTGAACTTCCACAGGTAAGTTTTTGTTTTTGGTTTTAAAAGATAAGTATATGTACATCTGATATATAGTGACTTAAGGTCCTACCTTAAGGACACTCAAAGAACATTTTAAATCAATTTTTATAAATGCCATAATTTTTTAATGTTCATAAAGGTTCCAGATGAAGAGTTTGAAGATATGGTGAGGACAGAGAGGTTAAAGGCAAAGAAAGAGCTTGAACTAATGAGAAAGTAAGTGTATTTTTCACTTATATTTTTTTCAAGGAAATATGGATAAGAAGGCACTTTTAAAGAAATATATGTAATATTAATATTTGATTCATAGAATGAAGAGACCCAAAGGCCACATTTTATCTGAGGAAGAGGAGAAGGAATTTGGGGCTGAATTTGACAGTGTCCCACCCAGCAAGAAAGCCCAGGCCCTCAGAGAAACCCTAGAGAGAGACAGAGATCCCTCCCTCCCCGCCAACATCAATGACCTGTGGAAGAAATTCCAGGAGATGAACGAGACACAGAGTGACAGCAGCATGAACACATCACGGATGGAGACCCTGACCAGTCTGCTGCGGAACCCAACAAAGCATGTGGTACAGAGGGCACTAGATGACCGAACGTACCAAAAGGTCAAGGAGAGGAGGGTGGTACAGGAGCTTGCGGACATGGAGCTAGAGAGCCAGGGGAAGGAGGGGGACAGCAGGCCAAGAGAGGGGGAGAAGTGGAGGATGGAGAAGCAGAAGAGACGACAGACACTGAGTGAAGAGGAGAGCAACGGGAGCTACGCAGAAATCCTGGCAAAGCAGAAGAAAACGGCAGAAACAGAAAAGAGACAGAAGAATAAGGAAAACAAGATGAAGGGTAGTAAAAGTGTCCGAGTTCAGGATGTGAAGAAGTGTGAAAGTGCTGATACACTGTACTCTATCCCAGAGGACACAAGCTTCGAGTCCAGTAGAGGAGCATCACCCAGTGTACTGACAGAGTCCCAGAAGAAAGCCAAGAAGCACAGACAGAAGAACGTGATTGATCCTCTGATGGTGAAACTCAAAGAAAAGGTGGAGACTCAGAAGAACAAGATAGATGTGGAGAGGAGAAAGGAGATGAAGAGACTGGAGAAACTGAAGAAGCTGGAGATGTTACTGGGAGCAAAGAAGAAAGGGAAGCTTTCTGACAAGGCCATCTCTGCAGAGCTGGAGAACGTCTCTACAACCTCAGTTCCACAGTCAGATGAGTCGTCCACATTCCTGCCTTCAGATTCCACTCTGATGGAGGATTCAGGTGATTCCACCCGGCCAGTTCTTGACTCAACCTCTTCCAAAGACAGCAGCATAGAGCTACAGAGAACTCGTGTCAGGAAATCTAAGGACAACAGGGACTTCCAAAAATCGTCATCTGCTGCCATTCTTCTGGAAGATTCTGAATCTCAGAGTGATATTATTGTAATCCGTAAACCAAAGACAAAGCAAAAGAAAGATAAATTGAATGATGAAGTTGGGCATAGGTCAAGAGATCGCAAGAAACATCGAGACGAGGAGTTATCTTCTGCCAGAGAGAAATTTCATTTGGAGACTTCCCCTGTTAGGACAAGGAAATTGAGAGACATTGGTACTATGTATCCCTCCCCAATTGTAGTCAGTCCACCAACAATGAGGAGAAGACCCAAGGAGGTAGCTATGAAATCTGAGGCTGTACAGACAACAGGGAGGAATGCTTCCCCGTCCTACAGTAACACCATGGTCATTCCTGTCCCCCTCATGTCACCAGAGAGTCAGAGGAAATCCAAGTCTGCCCGCTCCTCCAGGGTGGAAAAACATCACAGTCAGAAGGGACCACATCAAGAGTGGTCTCCAGACAGGTCAAGTCTGAGTCATCGGTCGTATACCCCTCCCAGAGCAAAGTCACCCTCATCCAAGTTGTCTGGTGGACAGAGAGTCAAGTCAACTTCTCCTGGGACACAGTTCACGAGTCATCAGAGAATTGGGTCCACTTCTCCCCCCAGATCCAGGATGTTTGTCCCTGAGTCAGACTCTGAGTATGAGAAGTTTATAATGAAGACTCCTCCCAAAAATAAGATGTTTACCCCGGAGACCCCAGAGGATGAGTATGCTGCCAGAATGAGGGACAGTCCACGTAAGTTAGTCACCACTGTATCAAAGAAAAAAAACAATTTTCATTCCAAAACTTCAAAAATCTCAAAGGAAAAGTAGGATATTTATTTTGAAAAATGTATTGAAAAACTATTTGATTAATAAAGGTGATTGTGTTTTATTTATGAATTTTCTTCCAGGAGGCATGGCTTGGTATATCCCCATGGATAAGGAGGTCAAACCATGGAGAAAGCCACTTAAAGAGCAGCAGGCTCATGCTGTGCGTAACGAACCATGGCAACCCAAGAATGTCAGCTCCAGCCAATGGAAGAACATCGTGAACTCGGATATCATGAACAAATCCCGTGACACCAAGTTTGATCTTAACCCCGAGGGGGAACCGATTGAGAACAAGGAGAATACAATGGAGGAATCGGACGATGATAATTCAGAGTCAAAGCCCCTCAACAAAATGTCTCTACAGGTGAAATAATGAATACTGAACTGATTCTGAACTCATTAATCATGGAATCATTTCTCTTAAAAAATCAAATAGCAGAATGAAATCTTATTTTTGGAAGATAATGAATAAAGGAAGCTTTCACTAAGATAAAGATTGGTTCATTGTTTCAGCAGCTTGTCATTTTACAGACATAAATTGTCAGGTTTAGCAATGATGAGCAAAGGTTTATGAAATGAAATGTGAAAGCTAAATTCAATTATTTTTTATTCTTAGGAGGCCTTTAAGCTCTACAAACAGAACACAATTTCCCACGTCCGTGAACGCCAGAAGCGAGTTACCCTGGCAACAGAGGAACGCAGACTGGTGACGGCCATGGAGGCAGAGAGAGAACGACTGTTTGCCGAGCAGAAAAAGAAGGAGGCAAATCCTGACGCACACCCGTATAGTGGTGAGTACAAATAACAGACGGGGACAGTGTGAGAGACATGGACAATACCATATAAGTGGAAATTTTAGCGAGACGCAAATTTAGCGATTTCTCCTTAAAAATTAGTAATTTATTTTTAGTTTATTGAGATTTGATTTTAAAGTGCTTGGATTAAAAATGCAATTAATTTTTAGTGATATTTTTAAGTGATCCCAAGACCCTTGCATGAAACTCTCAATATCTCTGAGCACTTAACTGAAATTTTGTAGAATGAAATTGACAGCATCATAATATGTCCATCTTGGTTGACAGATGTTAACATACATGTTCATTGTACATTTGCAAATGTAAAACTGTATGTTCATGAAATTCTGTTACATGTTTTAGTGGTCAGTTATAACTATAACAATCTTATTTTCTTCATATGCCTGGTCTTGATAAATATTATTTATTCATTTACTAAATTTCTGTAGTAGAAACAATGATTTACATGTGCAATGTATAACTGATGATTTATTATCAATTAACAAATCACTTGAACTTCTTTTCTTGTCTTCTTAGAAAATCTCCATGTTCCAAAGAGAGAGAGAGAGAGGAGAGAGATAGGGTACTCTTACAAAGCAAGAAATAAAAGAACGTACTAAAAAGTGAGTATCTAGAGTGAGAGAGAGATGGGATACTTACAGTGAAGAAAGATTAGAGTGTGAATACTTTGTGTACTTAAATATTTGTATCATTTACAGTCAACGGATCATTTGCTAAGAAATACATTTATCTTTGTTTTCTCTTTTATCTTTTGTAAAAATACATGACTTTTTACAAATCTGCATTTGGTATTGGAGGAAACGTTAATTTTATTCTTGAATTGTTTTTATAAAAGGTCATACAAAAAACTTGCTGAGGTTGTGGAGAAAAAGAAAGAAGAAAAACGTCAGGAAGATTATGCACTGAACAGACTGAAGGCTAAGGTGTTCAACAGGGTAAGACAACTCTGGTTAAATAATGTTTATTTTAAAAATAACTATGGATGCAGATCTTACCATTTTACATTGTATATTACTCACAATCAGTTTAAATCTTTAATGGGATTTTACTTTATTAATGTGATTGCACCTTGCAGTATATTAGAATTGGCATTCAATTTATTGCAATATCAATCTGACATCTGTATATTGTTTTGTTTTTGTAATTTCAGAGAATACAAAGGCATGTTTTGAAGAAGAGTGCAACCTTGAGATAAAATGGCAGCCACTTTTTTGTTCCTTGTGGAATTATTGTCTGTGATATTGACTTTTGTCAATGAAATTCCCTGACATTCATAGTTAGAGGATGGACTTCTATATGTTATATAGTGCCTTATGTCATATTGATATTTAACGAATTACACTTACTCTTAGCTAGATCATTAATTAGGGAGTGATTCTGAAATCTTAATATCTTATTTTTATTGGTTAGATAAATAAACAGATTTCTTAATGTTTCTATGTCTTGTCAATTGACATTTATAAAAAAAAAATTGTATTTGTGCCGTTTTGTTCAGTGGTGGGGAAGTACAATAATATGTCAGGAGTTGTCTGTTCTTTATGGTATTAGTATTGTCAAGCATTAAACATAAGATATGGTAATTCACTAAATGCTAGGATTAACGCTAGTATTTGTTCACACCTACATGTATTTTATTCTGGACTTATGATCCAATATTTAATAAATTATTCAATGATTAATAATACTTCTTTTTCTTGATCATTAATTGCTTGGAACAACATTTTACACTAGTCATTTGCATGTTAAAAGTTCACTTTGGTAAGAAATACATATTTGTATTTAGGTTTGAGACAGATCCAGATCAGGATATTATCCCTCAATGAGGATTTTTTTTTTGAACCAATTCATTTATTTTGATTAATAGAAAGAAATTTCAATATCCAGAAGGAATAGAAAGTCACTAATTAATGGTATGCTATTTTAAAAATTATATGTGTGCTTTCTTCTTCCAACAAATGCAGAATTGTTTGTATGGGTTTTTGAAGCTTAATTAATTGAGCTAAAAAATCAAGTAACATCATTCTATTGCTCAGCACCTGGCTGGCTGTCCATCCATTGAATCCTAGCTACAACCACTGGCTAAAGAATGAGTGCACTTTCGTACGTCATTTGGAACTTTTTCGGCTACCCATTTTAATTTATACATTACAATTTATTGCTAAATTAATCTATGATTATTCTGCAAGCATATGCTTTTGATATTTATGCCTTGAATTTTTTGTCATACATATTTTTATAATTACAGACGCCATTGATAAGAACATGTATAAGCCTTAAATTCCTGAAATTTGAACGGGATCACTGTCGAAATTAAGCTACCCGCAATTAGGCAAAGACATTCAGATCGCATGGATGTGGAAAGTAAACAATAGCACATAGATTTTTTAGCAATCAGATGCTACACTACGAATTTAAATTATGAAGAGAGGGATTGTATAGTTTCATGGTGCACAAATAATAAATGATTCTAGTGTTTAGGGATGGGGTAGATGTATCACCCTGCAGACCATAATACAGAGGCAACATGAGCTTTATTTACTAATATCACTACCAATACCAGAATTCTTTCAAAACACTCCTAAAGAAAAACGGTAAAATAAGAGATATAATCAACCTTATCAAAATTTGCACAAAAATCTTCCTTAGTTTGAAGTTGGAAGTACTATAAATACTGTAGGAATAGAAACTCCAAGCGACAAACACAATGAAAATTTTAATGAAAGCATTTCCGTATGGAACCCTGGAATGTCGCATGAGTAAACCGATTATAATATCAATTGTTTACACTCGGGGATATGTTAATTTAGTGGCTAACTTGATGGAAGTTTGGAGACTTTTTCAAAAAATTAGATATGAGCCGCAACTTGACCAACATTGTCCTTTGGATATATATAAGTTTTGATTAAAATACACATGCTGTGCAAATGAGACCAATGGCCAAGTTGCGGCTCGATGTAACCAATGTCGTTGAAAACTGGTTTGCATATGAATAACAATAAAAATGTGACAAAATTGGTAGACCCCCGTCTCAAAAGCCAGTGTTGCTGAGGGGCATTAATGGCTCCCAAGAGAAAATTATTGTGAAAAAATTAAAATCAGACTTCTTAGATTGCACATGCTAAAATACACATGCTGTGCAAATGAGACCAATGGCCAAGTTGCGGCTTGATGTAACCAATGTCGTTGAAAACTGGTTTGCATATGAATAACAATAAAAATGTGACAAAATTGGTAGACCCCCGTCTCAAAAGCCAGTGTTGCTGAGGGGCATTAATGGCTCCCAAGAGAAAATTATTGTGAAAAAATTAAAATCAGACTTCTTAGATTGCACCATACACATAGTGTATATGGTGCAGATCTAAGAAGTCTGATTTTAATTAGATTGCACTGAACCTAAAATAATGAAAGTTACCAGACTGAGTGTTAATTAATTTAAAATTGTTTAAATCATGACGGTTGACTCTTGGGTATAGGGTGGGATGCTATAAGAGATCAAAGTTTTACATGGAATATATGGGGAATGGTTGAAGAAGCACTGGAGCAGAAAAGTTAAGTTAAATCTTACACCAACCTTCAATTCATGGTTCCCCAGGTGATTGAGTTTGGCCAAAATAAAGGATTAATTTATTGGAAAAAAATCTTTGAAAATCTCAAGCTGACAAGATTATATTCAGGTTCATCAATTCTATTGAACTTTTTATGGAGAAAAAATTAAAACATATTTAGTTGATAAGGTACACCATATATTTCTAAGTTGCCTCTCACTTTATATGTGAAAAAAAGTATAATGGAGTTTACAGTATGTATAGTCATTTCACTCCCTCAAAAAAGAAATTCAAAACCTTGGAGAATCGGGGGTATTTAATAATGTATCTTTTTCATTTTATGAAATAAAGCTTTTTCTGCAGGTAACTTAAAATTTTTTTCACAGTTAAGTTACAAAACTAGGTAAATATCTGTGCGAGAGTTTAAATCTAATTATATCCTAGTCTTGTAGTATCTTATTGCTGGTTTTGTTAAATCTCACCTGAAATCTCATGTATTCCATGATCTATGAACATATATTTAAAAGCATTCAGAGGCCTTTCATACAAAAAAAGTGCAGGTATGTATAGTGACTACCAGTATTTGTAATTTAGAATGTTTCTGACATTTTTATTTTTCAAAATCTATATTTTAAAATGGAAAGATTATAAATTTCCTTCATGTATTGAACAAAAGTCAAACAATGAAATGGAACATTGCCTGCCTGAAGTTTAGAAACCTTAATGTAATACACCCGTAATTTAAATATTTATTTTACGTGTAGATGGAGCTTTCCAAAACAATGCAAGTAGCGTTAACTCCCCAACATTTCCTACAGTGTGGTAATGAAGATTGTGTGAAAAATTGTGAATTCTACTGCAACTCATGTCATCATGGCATGTGTAGAGAATGCACAGATCTCCACATGGATAATCAAGAAAACCAGAACCATGAGGTAGTCCTGTACCAACACCGTAAACGACAACATCCAGTGGAGAAATGCAAGACTCATCCTACTAAAGAAATAGATATTGTATGTGAGGAATGCAATGTTCCTTTATGTTCAAAGTGTTCAACAATGCAAGAGCACAGGGGTCATCAATTTGTTGATTTAGAAATGGTCTATACTGATAAATTTAAACTTTGCCAGAAGGAAATCTCCAAAATTTATAATTATTTCATTCCAACTACACAAGATTTACAGAAAGATGCAAAGGAAGATGCTACTGAAATAAAAAATATCATAGACAACATACGGACAACCATGAATGCAGGAGCAGAATTTCTCAAAAGCATAGTGGACTCGGTGCTTTCAGACAATATGGAAGAATTAAATCAGATAGAACACATGATACTGGAGGATTTGAAGAGCCAAGAGAAGACATTGAATGATTATATTGCCTATCTCAGGGGCCTTGTAAAAGAATTCCAGAGCTACCTGGCCTCTACTGAGCTCACAAACTTCACCACTTTACTCCCAGAGAACTTGGAAATAAAACCCATACCAGAAACCACAAAACCTATCAAACCAGAATTTTTCCCTGCTGAATACACTGAGAATGATGTTGCCAATTTACTGGGGAAGATAACTGTGACAGATCTAGATAGAAACAGAGAGATTAGAAAAATAAAGCCAATGGAAATGGCTTCTTTTTCTTCATCAATCAAACCTGCAAGTGAACAATCAAAACAAGATCAACATGTGAAACCTGACAAGAAACATCTATCTGCCAGATCTGTCAATAAGGTCAAGGAGTTAAAAGTACCAGGTGTAAGGAATGTGTACCATATATCACTGGGTCAAAAAGACATAATCTGGATCAGTAATGATGATGGTATTCTTGTCCAAGCAGATCTACAGGGGAATATGATACAGAAAATAAAAACCAGTGGAGGGATGGAAGGCTACCACACAGTCACCCAGGAGGGGGAACTTCTTTATACTGATGGACCCAAGAAAGTCATTAATAGGGTGACAAAAGATAACAATTTCACCGAATTCCTTAAAACTGGAGACTGGGAACCATACAGCATACACTCCTCCATCATCAATGGGGACATTCTGGTGGGGATGTGGAAGGAAAAGGAAGCTAAAGTCACGAGATATACCAAGACAGGAGAAGAACTGCAACACATACAGAGGGATAACAAAGGCCAGGGAATGTATGGTGTTCCAACCTATATCACAGAAAACATCAATGGTGATATCTGTACATCAGACTGGGGAAAGAAGGCAGTAGTGGTGGTAAATAAATCAGGACAACACAGGTTCTCCTACACGGGTCAGGAGTCAAAGTTCTGTCCCTTTGGAATATGTACCGATGTTTTCTGTCACATCCTGGTGTGTGATAGATACAGTGAAACTGTTCATCTTCTTGATCAGAACGGTCAGTTCTTGTCTCTTTTCCTGGCACAACAACAGTGGGTCAAGTATCCTAAGGCTTGTTGCCTGTGTGTGGATGATGAGAACAATCTCTTTGTTGGACAACTAGACACAAACACTGTTACAGTTTACACGTATCTCAAGTAATCCCTACTCCATCATAAACCAGAAGTCTCTGTCGAGACTGTAGCTCTACTGGTTTGTACTTATCAAAAACCATTGCACTATTTTATGTATCTTTGTGTAGTCTACTTGTGTGCCAACTTATTTTGAAATCAAACTAAAACTGTAGAAGGAGTAGCGTTTTAAAGGAATTCACAGAAAATTCTATTTTTAGTAACCATGGTAACACCGCTCATCGAAATTAAAAACCGATGCACTATTCTATGTATCTTAGTGTAGTCTACTTGTGTGCCAAGTTACATTGAAATCAGACCAAAACTGTAGAAGGAGTAGTGTAAATTTAAAGGAATTTCACAGAAATTTCTATTTTTAGTAACCATGGCAACACCATTCATCGAAATCAAAAACCGATGCACTATTCTATGTATCTTAGTGTAGTCTACTTGTGTGCCAAGTTATATTGAAATCAGACCAGAACTGTAGGAGGAGTAGCATTTTAAAGGAATTTCACAGAAAATTCTATTTTTAGTAACAATGGCAACACCGTTCATCAAAATGAAAAACCGATGCACTATTCTATGTATCTTAGTGTAGTCTACTTGTGTGCCAAGTTATATTGAAATCAGACCAGAACTGTAGAAGGAGTAGCGTTTTTAAGGAATTTCACAGAAAATTATATTTTTAGTAACCATGGCAACACTGTTCATCAAAATGAAAAACCGATGCATTATTCTATGTATCTTAGTGTAGTCTACTTGTGTGCCAAGTTATATTGAAATCAGACCAGAACTGTAGAAGGAGTAGCATTTTTAAGGAATTTCACAGAAAATTCTATTTTTAGTAACCATGGCAACAACGTTCATCGAAATCAAAAACCGATGCACTATTCTATGTATCTTAGTGTAGTCTACCTGTGTGCCAAGTTATATATTGAAATCAGACCAAAACTGTAGAAGAAGTAGCGTTTTTAAGGAATTTCACAGAAAATTCTATTTTTAGTAACCGTGGCAACACCGTTCATCGAAATGAAAAACCGATATACTATTCTATGTATCTTAGTGTAGTCTACATGTGTGCCAAGTTATATTGAAATCAGACCAAAACTGTAGAAGGAGTAGCGTTTTTAAGGAATTTCACAGAAAATTCTATTTTTAGTAACCATGGCAACACCGTTCATCGAAATCAAAAACCGATGCACTATTCTATGTATCTTAGTGTAGTCTACTTGTGTGCCAAGTAATATTGAAATCAAACTAAAATTGTAGGAGGAGTAGCGTTTTGAAAAATTGTTTACAGACAGACGGACAGACAGACAGACAGACAGACGGACGCCGGACGCATTACTATCGCATAAGCTCTTCTGGTCTCTGACCAGTAGAGCTAAAAACAATGGTTATGTAAATGTATAAACAGTTGAACTTCGTTATCTATATCTTCAACACTAAAAATACATGTATCTTGAAGCGATTCTGATGATTTTGAGTCACAATCACATATTCTTCAAGATTTTTACCCTTCATGTCTCAGATCATTGAAAATCATTGAGTACATGATAATCAAGTCTGACTGTGTATAATTACATGGTTGTACAGTTAGCTATCAGTGTTTGTGAATTATGTTTGCCAAGATTGTTTTAGTTAAATTTTAATGTTAAAATGGTGAAAATCAAACAGTAGCAAAAATAGGAGTTTTTACCCTTGTCTACACTGAGTTTAATAGGATATCTAAAATCAGTACACATGCAGTTCTGGTATTGCATGATGCATGGCTTCTTACAAACATTGGATTAAAGTGTTGTTCATTTTTCATTTGCTATAGCACTAGACTGTGATGCCAGAAACACAACCTCATATTTTTTTCTCAAACCATGAAAACTTGAACCCTTGAAAATATGTCATTTTACATTGCAGGATAATTATGTCTGTTTTACACAGGAAAAATCTTTTCAAATTTTCTTTTTAAGAGCATGGCTCAAGAGTCAAAGGTGATTGATTGGTCAGTAAGCAAAAGATCTCTAAGTCAAATCTGCTGGTATTCAGTATAACACAAAAGTACTATTTTCTAGTTTTATTCAACAATAACAAAGCTAATATAAGGGAAAAACATGAAAGTCATCTTTCATCACTAGTGCATTATTGCTGATCCATATAAAAAAATGTATTGATGTGAAATGATTCAAACTTATTTTGTACTATGGTGGTAAAATCTGACTACAGAAGAAGTCTATGTGCATGTATCTGGCCATAATCATAATCATGTCTTCCAATAATTCTTATGTGTCATTTAACCGTTTTTTTCTCAGTGTTAATCTTCACACACATTTGACAGTACTTCGTTTAATTTACATACATCTTCATACACACAGAACCAAAAGTAGTCTATCATCCTGTAAATTGGTAAACTAATACCCAACAAGGCTAACATCTGTCTATAGATTGTGTTGCAAACCCACTTGCCAATGTCCAACTTCCCACAGAAGCATCCTCTCCTCAATAACTGTATACCTATAAACAATTATATCCAGTGTCAGTCGTCCCCGATGTCAAACTTGAGATTGACGGGGGACAGACAGACAGACGGGGTCCTGGTGCTGACATTGAGGGGGTCGGGGCAGATTGACCCCAGGCTATCGTCCATTCTGACCGGGTGGGCGTACGCCCCCTCCTTCTTGGCTCGCCTGTTCTGGATGTCTTTTAAGATTCCCTTGGCTTCCTCCCTCCTCTAAATTCAAAATTATAAAAGCAGTATTATTGTTTAAATGTCTTTGCTTTTGGAGATTTGTTAAAAAGAGCTGACTTTGAAAAATATAATGATTTAATGAAGCACAGAAATGTTCTGATACAGTTTATATGCCTGTTACAGTGTTACTATACCCCCTAAACTTTGGATAACTTTATTTTGTAACAAATTTGAAATTTTAAATTCTTTTACATCTTACAAAGTGGTAATTTATTGGAGGGAACATATGTTACACCAAAAATATTCATAATCATTTTCAAATGACAAACATTTTGAATTATACCGTATAAGTGGAAATTTTAGCAAGACGCTAGCGATTTGTCCTTAAAATCTGGGAATTTATTTTTAACAAGATGTTTTTTTTAGTGATTTCAAAATACACATTAAAGAAGCTTTTACAAATAAAACGCAATTAATTTTTAGCGATATTCAATTTTAATGATCTCCGCACCCTCGCTAAAAATGCCAAAATGAAATACTCGCTTAAATCTCTACTTATATGGTATGTGTGTAAAATGTTTTGAGGTATAAATCTCCAATTAGCCTTTGCAGTCCTATGGAAGAACAATTAAGGACTACAGATAGTTGTTTCTGACACGTGTAACATGTTAGACAAACTTTTACTGACATTGACTTGACCCATACAGACCTCTGGGAACTCAGTACACTTCTGGGCGGCGGAGTAAGCATCGTCTAGGTTGTTCCTCTGTAGGTGGTAGTTAGCGAGGTACTTATACGCCTGACTCTGGTCCTCAGCACTGAAAGTCTGAAAAATAACAATTATAATTCATCAACGTGTATGTTACAGCTTCTCTGTTGTGCTTTTCTTGTGATTTTTTTATGAAATGGACCAATTTCCGTAGGTTTTCAGTCTTCAAAGTTCAAATGTTTTTATCTTCTGTTGTGCATTTCTTGTCATTTTTTTTTTATGAAATGAACCAATTTCTATAAGTTTTCAGTATTCAAAGTTCAATTTTTTTTTTTAGAAACTGATTCAAATGAAATTTCAAGATGTCTTCAATCTATACATTTTCACAAATAACTATTCCCAAGGTCTAGTCAATTTAAAAGTGTGATGATGTCCACAAAATCCTGCACCTTAAAGGATGAAGTCGACCTAATGACTCAATTTTTGTGACCTAATGACCCAGTTTGTGTGACCTACTGACCCCCATTCTATTAGCCTCATTGATGTATTCTGTATAAGCTGAGGCAGCCTGGTCCTCTTCACCAAGACGCTCATGTAATCTGGAATGAGTAATTTAACATAAATAAAGGAATAAAGGACACTGTAATGTATATTCTGACACTCTGTACAAGGAACTTTAACATAGTGTGACAAATACATCACTACCAGAGATTTATTTAAATATTTTTATGTATAAATACAAGTACATCATAAATCAAGTGAATATTCTCAAAATATGCAAACGTTTATGTGAACATAATCTTTTTTTGCAATAAAAACATATCTTGGCATTTTAAAGAAGCGAAAATAATACATAATCCCTGCCTTACATGGTCGTCCCCTACTTCAGTCTTACATGGCTATCCCTATTTCCTGACTTAATCATTTATCCCTGACTCCTGACTTACTTGTCTATCCCTGACTCCTGACTTACTTGGCTATCCCTGACTCCTGACTTACTGGGCTATCCTTAACTTACTTGGCTATCCTTGACTCCTGACTTACTGGGCTATCCTTAACTTACTTGTCTATCCCTGACTCCTGACTTACTGGGCTATCCTTAACTTACTTGTCTATCCCTGACTCCTGACTTACTGGGCTATCCTTAACTTACTTGTCTATCCATGACTCCTGACTTACTGAGCTATCCTTAACTTACTTGTCTATCCCTGACTCCTGACTTACTGGGCTATCCCTGACTCCTGACTTACTTGTCTATCCCTGACTCCTGACTTACTAGGCTATCTCTGACTCCTTAACTTACATGACTATCCCTGACTCCTGACTTACTGAGCTATCCCTGACTCCTTACTGAGCTATCCCTGACTCCTGACTTACTGGGCTATCCCTGACTCCTGACTTACTTGTCTATCCCTGACTCCTGACTTACTTAGTTACCCTTAACTTACTTGGCTATCCCTGACTCCTGACTTACTTAGTTACCCTTAACTTACTTGGTTATCCCTGACTCCTGACTTACTGGGCTATCCTTAACTTACTTGGCTATCCCTGACTCCTGACTTACTGGGCTATCCTTAACTTACTTGTCTATCCCTGACTCCTGACTTACTGGGCTATCCTTAACTTACTTGTCTATCCCTGACTCCTGACTTACTGGACTATCCTTAACTTACTTGTCTATCCCTGACTCCTGACTTACTGGACTATCCTTAACTTACTTGTCTATCCCTGACTCCTGACTTACTGGGCTATCCTTAACTTACTTGGCTATCCCTGACTCCTGACTTACTGGGCTATCCCTGACTCCTGACTTACTTAGTTATCCTTAACTTACTTGGCCAGTTTGATGAGTGCCATCCCCTCCATGTCCCCCACTACATGGGCCTTCCAGAAACATTTCTTGGCCTCTTGTAGTCTCTCCAATTTCTCATATGACTCACCAAGTGCCATCGCCATACGAGAGTCGTTGGGTCTATAACATCACAGAAATTGTAATCATTATGTTCTTCAGACATGAAATGTTCAGAGAATCAGATGAAAACAAAACAGGTGTTTACTGTTCATTCATACAGAATTGCTATCAAATTGTTTGAATGAAAAACACTCAGTGACACACATACACAACCTCAAAACAAGAGATGTAAAGTAAAACACTTATGCCCCCCTCCCCCCAAATTAGAATTTTTCCAAGTCCAAGGGGGCATAACTCTGTCAAAAATGGTGCAACCGTACCCAAAACATAACTTGGCCTAGATATTTATCTGATTATTATTTATACTAAAGTTCATTTCAGTATGTGCAACCTCTCTGAAGAAAATGAACGGAACCTGCAAGTAATTGGAATTTTTTAAAGTAAAAAGGGGCATAACTCTGTCAAAAATGGCGCCATCTTACCCAAAACAGTACTTGGCCTAGATATTTGTCTGATTAATCTGTATAATAAATATCATTTCAGTATGTGCAACATCTGCAAAGAAAATGAACGGAAACTGTAAATAATTGGAATTTTTCTAAGTCCAAGGGGCATAACTCTGTCAAAAATGGTGTGGTTGTATCCAAAACAGAACTTGACCTAGATATTCATCTGAAAAATCTGTATACTAAATTTCATTTCAGTATGTGCAACCTCTCTGAAGAAAATGAACGGAAACTGCAAATAATTGGAATTATTTAAGTCCAAGGGGGATAACTCTGTCAAAAATAGCGCAATCACACCCAAAACAGAACTTTACCAAGATATTCATCTGATATACCTGTATACCAAATTTCATTTCAGTATGTGCAACGGTTGTAAAGAAAGTGAACGGAAACTAAATGGACCGACAGACAGCAGCAAAGCAATATGCCCTCCCTTCTTCGAAGGGGGGCATAAATATTGAGTTATTTATCAACTGTTCTTTTTTCACTCTGACTTGTTAATATCCGTTCACTTTTACTATAAAACATCATTTGCTAAGTGTTAAAGTGATACCTTAGTTTCTGTGCCTGCCTGTAGTAATACAGACAATAAAATGGCATCTTTAGAATCTCATAGGTCTGTCCCAGACCATACCAGGCTCTGTAATCTCGAATGTTGATTTCTGAAGGACAGAACACATACATAATCAAACTCTAACCATATATCTTTCAAATAAGACATAACAAATGCATTGCTTTCAATTGCATTATTTCTAAGGTTGTGAGTAAATTAAGATTTCTAAGTAATAACACTGCCCCTACTCTAAGACTGCCCTAGAATTTGAAGACTCCTGAAATCTTCACTCACCAATAGCCTGTCTGTAGGCCTGGATTGCTGCAGTGGTGTTCTTGAGCTCCATAAACTCGTGGCCCATCAGAGTCCAGGCGGACAGGTACTGAGGGTTCAGCTTCAGGGCCCGCTGGAAATACAGCACCGCTTTCTCGTGTTGCTGTCGCAGAGAGTAATAGTTACCTAGAAATGGTAGACAAGTCTATCACATCTCAGGAAAAATAGTTCACAGTTCCTGTAACACAAGTGAACATATGTCCACAGGCATTAGTCTACTGTAAATTAACCCCCTCCTCAATATTTTTTTTTAAAAGCCAAGAGAGGAGACATATATAAGATTTTCTCAGAAAAAAATATATAAGGCTTAAGTTACAACATACTGAATGAAAAACATCTGTAGATTTGATAACTTTTTAAACATCCTTCCACAACAAGAACTATCCTTCATAACTCTTATTTATAGACAATAGACGGACAGATGGATGGACAACAGACAACGGGTGATCAGAAAAGCTCACTTGAGCTTTCAGCTGAGGTGATATTATATGATAATGCACCTATCCTTACCTATAACAACACATGTCTCCTCTCTGTATTTGTCTATATCACAACAGCGGTGCGCCAGGTGAGCTAAATCAGCCCGCATCTCCTTCAAAATCAAAATAGAACAGTTAATTCACTTAAATCTAAAAAAGTAACAGAGGTAGTGAGATTTATAAAATAAATGGTATACAGTGAAACCTGTCTAATCCGACATGCACTGGGAGACAAATTTTGTGTCGGAATAGACAGGGTGTCGGATTGCACAGTGTTAAAAACATGGAAAATAGTAAAATGGGAAAGAAATTTAATGTCGGAATTTGCAGTGTGTTGGATTATTGAGGTGTCTGGTTGAACAGTTTTCAATGTACGATGTCTTCACTTTTATGTACTGTCTTCACCTCTCAATACTAACCTTAAAAACCTTTATATATATATAATGTCTACACCTTCATGTACTCTCTTCACCTTCATGTACTGTCTTCACCTTTATGTACTGCCTTCACCTTTATGTACTGCCCTTACCTTTATGTACAGAGTATTGGAGAAGTAGTCCATGTTCTCCAATCTGTAGGGGTCCATCTCGGACAGTTCTGTGAAGGCATTTACAGCCATGTCCACCTCTGGAAGCAAAAACATCTCAATGACTTCACAATTCCACCACTCATAGTAATTATCTTAGTGCATTTTGTATGTACAATCCTAGTGCCTTGTTTTGGTGATTAAATAATAAAATATTCATGTGAGAAAATGGTAATCCTTACATATAAATAAAACATAACTGTCTCAGCCTATCATAATAAAAATGAATGCTCTAATTATGCATTTACACACACAGTCAGTTTCTACATCACTACTTAGAAAAGCATGCCTTACCCCTCATGTTGTTATATGCCATGGCGACCTGTGACACAATGTAGGTACTTTTAACAAAGCCTTTGTCCATGAGATGCTGGTAAATTTTTAATCCCTCCTCATTTAACTGCAGCTCAAGGTAAATATGACCCAGGAAGAAGTGCTTCATCCAATGATTAGGGAGGGACAGGGCCAACAGCTGAGGGAAAATGTCAAAAGAGGATAGATTCATGATTAAGGGGCATTTCAGAATTAAATCTATACAGTATAAATTTAACTCAGTGGTATCTTGTCAGGAGAAAAAAAAATTGAACTTTCACATCTGGACATCATGAGTGTTCATAATCATGAGATTAAAGCTGTTGTACAGAGTGTACTCACTGATTCCTTGTCTTGAGTGTACTCACTGATTCCTTGTCTTTGATGAGCGTGACCAGTTCTAGCCATGCTCCCCAGTGTAAGGGTTCTGCATTAACAGCATCAACAAAGATTTCTATGGCTTCCTTTAACAAATCTAATTTCTTTAACACCACTCCATATCTACAAAACAACTTCATCATTAATACTTAATTAGCTTCTTACATTACAATGTCTGTATTGTGCCATACCTCTGTTGTTACTTACAGGTAGATACAGAATCCATCCAGCTCTTTTATTGCATACTTCTTGGCCAGCTCTGTCTTCAAAGTTTTTAGATGTTCATTTTCAAGTTTGTCTGGGGGACCTTAAAATATTCCTAAGTATGAGTACTTAATCATGAACCTTGATATCTAATATTAAGAATGCACCAATATCAAATATGAACATTACAAAAATTGAAACATATTCGTTGTTGCAACTTTCTCTCCACCATGACAGTATTTTTATGAATTTCATTTACATTTGAAAAGTTTGATTTATGCTACCAATATAATAAACTGTGTTAGCTTTCTTGGACATTTTCCTCAAGATTCTCATATTAATTGTATATTTTAGAAATTAAATTTACCAATTGAATCAGGAGCATTGTCTAGCTTCCTCTTTTCATCAGCAAGGTATCTCCCATACATGTGTAAAAAGTAAGCTTTGTTGTTCTTACAGTCCTGGACAAAGTAGGCAGCCCTGTCATACTCCTTCAGATCAAAGAAACTCGAGGCCAAGCAGAACTTGTCATACTCTTCAATAAAATCCTTAAAGGAATTGAAAATCTTGTAATTAGTCTTCACCTTTTACCAATCTTAAATTCAACAAACTGGATTGCGGGGACAAAAGTGTTGTGAAAAAATAGTAGTGTTATGGTTTTTATTCTAAAAGATGAACTTTAATTTACAATACACAGTAAACACACACTATAAGTGTTTAATAAAAAGTGTAAGAAGCAATCTTAAATGACATTGGAGAATCCAGATGGTGTGTTGAATATCAGTTGTAAAAGGCAAATGACTGCACAATCATCCAAATGGTTTCACCATTAGATGTATTAGCCGAAATAAAAATTTTCATTTATTGAACTATAAATTTATATCCATTTTGTGATATCACATTCCAAACAGCCTATTAAATCCCATTTGGTCAAATGATGATTGATCACAACCTGTTTAACAGGTTGGGCACAGTTCCTTTTTCGGGGAAGTATTACTGTAAAAGGGAACTATTACTATTTTCAGTAATAAAAACATTACTCAATTCGGAAATTTTCACTCAATTAGCCTCTAGTGCAAGAATAAAGTGCAAGAATATTTTCACATCCTCTAAATATTTATTGTCTACTAATTAAGTGTATGCATGCTCAAAAATGCAATATTCATTGCTGCAAAAAGCTGAAAAAGAGTGATGAAATATTTCTATGACATAGATTTCTTACGAAAGCTTACCTGTGTTAAAATTGTGAGATTGAATACGTTCAGCACTTGCTAACTCGTTCATGGGAATATTCGTTCTAATTTAATTTAATACTATTTTTTAAAAATGAAATCGGAAAAATAATTTTAAATACCATTGCTTCTTTTACAGATGAAAATAATTATTTGAAATATTAAATTTCAAAAGATATTCTTTTAAAATGGTTTTAGAATGAATGTCCTTATTAGATTCCATACTTACAGTACCATTTATCAACAGGGAATATGATTTAATTTCATCTTACTCTTGCCTGCAGCACTGAAGGGCCGAATTTTTTGGTCAGCGAGGTTTGTTTAATAAAGATCAAACACATCACATCATATTTTTTATGCACTTTTTATTTTAAAAAATGAATTTGAGGCATTATTTTAAAAATGTGATAAAAATTACCAAATTGAGTAATGTTTTTATTACTGGAAAGAGTAATAGCGAGCGCAGCGAGTGTCGTGAAGCAATGCTCATAACTGCGAGCTCTAACGACAACGCCTGGGCAAAGAGAAAATTCAGACTACTGCACATTCATTCTTTAGAATTTTTTGCCGCAGTAATTTTGACCCACAATGCATCACTTAGCAAAGTTGCGTTCTCGCGAGAGTGACGGCAAATGTTCAAAAAAAGTTTACTCGCTTTGATTAAATAGATACATATTGAAGATAAATTGTAAACGTAACTTTTTTTATTAACTTTCAGCACTGTTCAGTTTTTTCTTGGTATTGTAACTTACATACATCGTCATGTGAAGTCAAACTCTAGAAGCAACAAATGTCACGTGCGGTTTGACGAGCCCGATCTAAATTAAAACAATAGAAGAGTTTGCGCTCGCTCTAACGGTCGCACCGTCAACATATTAGTTCCCGTTTACAGTAATACTTCCCCGCAAAAGGAACTGTGCCCAACCTGTTTAAAGTGTGATTCAATGGATCTTAATGAAAGCTGCGACTTACTGGTCTTTCTTGCACAGGCAAGATCTGTTTGTAGTCAACAGGTGATTCAATGGAATACAGCAACTCTGCAGCCCTGTATAGACATGAAGAAGCCATAAATGGACAACACAGTGCAGTGAAAAATGATGATGGAAATTCGGGTTTCATTTTAACATGAAATTTACGATTTCTATGACCAATGCCAATTTTTACACAAACCACTTAGCACTGTGAAATAATTTCCTTTGTGAACATTCACGATTCGCTCTTAGAAGATCAGTTTTTATAGAAGAAAGTGAAGGAGTAAAGGTTTTGAAGAGACTTGAAATATCCGCCATCTCTCTTCGGTGTAACAGGTGCTTAGCAGGTTGTACTTGAAATCATTCGTCATTGAGAAACATTCATATAGTGGATGACTTTCAAACCTTCATACTAATGACTTTTATACCAATATCACCAATATCACATAGATCCGTGTTTTTGAGGAGGGGTCACCGTTTTCAAGGGCGGGGGGGGGGGGGGGTCCAAGTGATCACTAATTTAATTTAATTTATTTTATTAAAAGCCCGGATGGGTAGCATGACCAATGCTAAATATTTATTTTTAGTCAGCCCGCGGGCTGACTAGTTATGGTACGAAGAACTTCCAATGCGCTTGCGTGACCTGGAATTCTGGGTGTGGTTCTGCAGTAAATCACGCCTGCTAATTTTATTTCAGTAAAATCAATATAGATTGTAAACCAACAAATCCCTATTAAACACCAAAGTAATCTGTAAATTTAACTCAAAAAAGGAATTTCCCGATGCTTATTTTTGTATAGAAGGTTTCAAAAGTTAACTGGTTCGCAGTAATTTAACTGGTTCGCACATGATCATGTGTTCTACGCAGCGAAGCATACAGTTGCTACTGTTGGATGAATTTAGTGTTTGACGCGTAAATTGAAGCTCTTTTATAAAATATATTGAAAGTATTTTTACTTATGTATTTAAATCTACAGTTCAAATATTGGTTTATTACATATTTTTAGCTTTTCAGTTTTTACTGCTTTTACTTTCGTTTTCACTACAAATCATTTCGATCCCGATGCTAAATAGTAGACAGACTTGTTAAGTCATACAACAGATACTTCGGAAAGAAAACACAACTGGCTAAGCTTGCTCGTTTGTTGCCTCCCGCTGAAATTAGAGAATATCAATTTCAGTCTGTCTGTCCGTCCATCTATAGTTCTGTCTGTCTGTAACACTTTCAAATTCCCCGCAATATTGCGTGAAGTCTTTGAGCTATTGTAGTGAAATTTTACACAACTGTTTACACCTTATATGGCCTTTGGAAGACCCTCTTGATTTTGAGGTCAAAGGTCAAGGTATTAAATTCAGAAATTCTGTCTCTTAAACACTTCTTTTCGCGCGATATCTCTATAAGCCATTGAGCTTTTGCAATGAAATTTTATACCACAACTCCCTATGGCCATATATATGGCGTAAGGAACATGAAGGAATACCCCTGTGTATTTGGAGTTCAAACGTCAGTGTCATAAAGTCATACTTCTGTGTAACTCTGTGTAAAACTTTCATTTCATTTCTAGTCAATATCTCAAGAAGGTTTTGAGTTTTTGCAATTAAATGTCATAAACCATAATTCCCTATGGCCCCGCCCTGGACCCCCCCCAACATAATCATTCAAGCTCAAATGTCCATTCAAATAATACAAATCAGGAGCTGATCTGCGCATGCTTTTTTTTATCCGTAAATTGGCTTGTTTTTCATATTCTACGACCTGATAATCTAGGTTGTGGCAATCATATTTATGAATTAATAGGTTTATTATATTATAAGAGGCCTGATAAATGAATTTGTGGGTCTTAGTAATGTTTTCTTTATTTCAATTCTACTTTTTATGAAACAATTTTAAGCGAAAATTCAGCTAGTTACTAGTAAGTCAAATGAATTAATAAACTAAAAAAAGTAGAAAAATTTTAAGACGATGTTTTAATTTTATTATGATTAAAAAATTGTTGAAGGCATTTTTTCAGTTCTCTATGAAAAAAACATTATCACAGAGAAGAAAAATCCACTGGCTGACTCTCTAAGCTTTTTTTATATATTTTACTGTGTAAATTTTTGGTCGTCCTTACACTTATAAAAATCTTTGAATCATAGAAATCGACTGTAAATCATGATTATCCAGGTGAGCTAATATTTTTTTTATTCCGGAATACGTTTCACCCTTGGGTTTTAATATTTACATCCGGGGTGCTTCAGACAGTGCGAATAGAATTTAGCATATTAATTATCTCTCGTTTTGTTTATTTTTTTCGTATTTGAAAAGTCTACAGATCTCAACACTGGCAAATCAACGATCTTCAGACGAACATGTGAAAAACCCACGCAGAGGTAAAGTCTATCAAAAGATTTAGTAAACATATCCTTTGATAATCGCATGACAGCCTTGGATAACATTTTCATCAAATGTAAATATGGTAGACATGCATCTATAAGGATACTGTATGTGTCATTATTTTTTTTTATGAATTTAATGTTAAGACGCAAGAATAGATTATCTCTTTAACTCACATAAGCATCATATGTCAGCAATGTACAATGTTGAATGTTATTAAATTGATGCATATATACAAACCTGATGTAAACAAGAATAGATATGGGTTACCCCATATCCAAAGATATTGGACTTTTAGATTTAATATGTTTAACAGTGTTTATAATGACGTTAATGAAAAAAAAAAGGCACTGTCTAATTATGGAACTGTTGTAAATTTCGTGAGTCCATAGCATTACGGTCACCCAGTCTCCTAACAAACAGTACACATAGGCCTACATGTACCTGTGTCCGCAAGACCAACTTTAGCCTTGGTCTACACACCTGTGATGGAGCTGTCAAACGCATCCAGCGAGCTCGGAGAAACACGTTTTGTTTTGCCGAGAAGTTTCGATGGCAGACAAAACTTTTCTTTTCTTAATTAGATCATATGAATACGAATTCTGATTAATAAAAATTATACAATCCCAGTTGAACTATATATAGTTTGTTCTAACATTTGCATCTGCAACAACTTGTGTTTAAAATGGCCGGGTTAGGAAAATCAGGACCGGGTCGGAAAATTCTAAACTGAAAACCTTTTTTGTTTTGAAAATTACTGAAATATACTAATGTATTCGTCGCAGAAATTACTTACATAATTCAAGTTCTATATAAAATGGTATGCTGAACTTCAACACGAACCCGAATCTCCAACCCAGTTCTCGTTTTGCCACACATACCCTACAGTTTACAAAGTGTACACACGAGCAGAATCCGGCCAGGGATTGAAAATTCCGTCATTTAATAATACACACACACAGAATGATTAATTTTTTCTTAAAATTGTATGATAATTAACGGACTATAAACATGTACTTAATACAATAGTTGATATAGTATTATCAATTCATCGGTGAAAAGATATGAATCGAAGAATGACCTAAATATTCACACACATCAAACATGTAAAAAAAAAAAAAAAGGCTGAGGAGTGAGTGAGCGTAGGAATATTGATATTTTTTATTTGCATTTCGGGGGGAAAGTGACTTTCTAATAATATTTTGACGTTATTTTTGATTTCTTTAACGTATGACATACACAACTTTACTCTTATCATGAACAATAATGTTGTATCTGCTTATCATGATGGAACTATCTTGGTCGGACCAATTTGTGTGAGCTGTCGCTGAATACAGTAATATATCTTGCATAAATAGTATGCATTGATAGAATATATTAAAAATAAGACTTTACTTTGCCTTGTTATCCAGCAATTTAATTAATGAACTTAGATATTAACATTTTTAAATATCTTTGTCTTAATAAAACTACAGATAGAGAGACAGAGAGAAGTAGTTGGTACTTGAATAAATAGAATGTTCTATGGTTAAAATAATATTATCCTTATAATGGACCCAATTTATAACGATAGAATTCGCTTCTTGTATTTGCAATGTAGCAAAATAAACAAGGTCAATAACTCGAACTCAGTGCATATACTACAAACAATCCTGAGAGTTATGAATATATTTACATTCAGTGTAATTTTCCTTATGATATCTATTAGAAATCCAGGACGTTCAAATCTCTGTAACACACGCGAAAGCTTGTCACCGCGGGTTAGAATACACAGTAGGAACTAGATGCATTTTCAATACTCTAGCATATCAAAATGTACATAATTTTGACTGAATTAATTTCAAAAAATATAACCCTGTTTAATTAACGTAAAAATACAATAAATGTGCGTTTAAAACTAATTTGTCACCTTTTTTCCTCGCAATGTTCGTTTGCGTTATTTAACTTTGCAACGTCACAAACGTCAAGAACGGCTGTTACGTCTATAAAGTACACTAGTTTTGAAGGGCGCTAAATTCACATTAAAGATTACGGAAATAAACAATTATGAAGATGAAAAATTAGAGAATGTAAATATAAGCATTGAATTCATATTTTGGGATGTCTTCGGTCCTATAACACACCTGGCCGTGCCGACAAATTATCATACCGCGCTAACGCGCGGTATTCAATTTGTCGGCACAGCCAGGTGTGTTTTAGCACCGAAGACATCCCAAAATATGAATTCAATGCTTAAGTAAACATGGCAGGTAAATTTGAAGAGAAATAAAATGCTGAGAAAATAAGTTGCATGAATTTTCATCTTTATATGGATGATTTTTTTTGAGATAGATTTAAAAAGGCATATAAAATCTCTTAAAGGTTTGTTTTATTAATTTGGTAATTATTTTCAGCTCAACTCCTTCTGTATTCTTCAAAATCATTTTGGAGCAGATTCGCTCTGATTTGCTACATTGCAAGTATACATGGTATTATCTTATTTAAAAAAAAAAGAATATTAAAACTATTACAAGTATCAGTGAAAGAAAGCAAATCAAACCCAGCAGTAGGGAAGGAAGAGCACAAAATAATGTAGATTGACATAAGATTACATAAAGCGTATAAGTCTCAGGTTTAAAACTTCCTTATGAGATTCAAGGACGAAGTAAGTATAATTTTTTTGTGTTGTAGGATACAGGAAGTTGAACCCATTTTCATGTGTTGGAAAAATGGGCAACTCCAAATCCTCTAAATCCACAAGGTATTTTGATGATGACATACCAACACTTAAGTCACTTGAAATGCCGCAGAAGGAGCGTGACCTTCACCTGGCTGTCATGGCCAATGACAGGGAAGGGGTCAAACTGTGCATTAGTCACGGGACGGATATAAACTACCCATGGAGTAACCCCCTGATCCCCAGCGTCAAGGACAGCACCACCCCTCTGCTGGCAGCCGTGTCTCTCAATCATGTGGAGATTACAGAGGTCAAATATCTTATTGTTTTATTCATCTTCATGTATATATAGATAAAACATGAATATAGTTTTCATTTTTCATACTATTGATTTACTCCTTGCACACCTGCTGTAAGAATGAATTTGCAATAAATTCAATTATATAATCAAGTTAATTTGTCTAAAATTGATCATGTCATTCAGTATAAGATTTCTAAAAAATCTGAGTTCCATTTATCGATCTGATAAAGTTTACCGATGAATCTGAGCCCTGTCACATTACTGTGCTGACTTTATGCTAGTATGTTAGTTTTTATTCTCCATCTTAAATTGATGAATATCTTAAAGAAAACAGAGGAACTATACATTGCATCTTGTAAAAGTAGTCAATCATGAGAAAGAATTTTTAATAGAAGAAAAACTTATCCTTTAATAATAAATGCAGAGAATTTAATTGTCAGTTGTTGTCTTAACCCTTTATAGTTATATGTTATGAGATATATGCCCTATTTCTTATAATCACTTTAATGTGAATTCTTTTTGACATTTTTTTAAAGATTCTGATTAAGGCTGGTGCTGACATCAATCTGACGGACAGGAACAGTTGTTCCCCTTTGTACAAGGCAGCCTTTCATGGCCGACCCGTCCTCATAGAAATGCTCCTTAAAGCAGGTTTGTCAGTTTTCAGATAATAATAAATGCATGTACTGGTACTTTAGTACTAAAAGCAGGTATTTCAGTTCTCAGATAATGAATATGTACTGGTACTTTAGTACTAAAAGCAGATATGTCAGTTTTCAGATAATAAATGCATGTACTGGTACTTTAGTACTAAAAGCAGGTATTTCAGTTCTCAGATAATGAATACATGCACTGGTAGTTTAGTACTATAAGCAGGCATATCAGTTCTGAGAAAATGAATGCATGTACTGGTACTTCAGTACTAAAAGCAGATATGTCAGTTTTCAGATAATAAATGCATGTACTGGTACTTTAGTACTAAAAGCAGGTATGTCAGTTCTCAAATGATGAATACATGTACTGGTACTTTAGTACTAACAGGGTTGGACATTAACGTAAGTCGGAAAGTCCAGTCTCACACTAATAAATTTTCATTTGGACTGATAAAATTTGTGGCTAAGTAGTCTGAACGGATTAATAAAGTTTTCTGGGGAGAAAAAGTTACGGATGTTTAATTCTTGACAACTCTGACTAGAATATGTATTTTTAGCTTAGCTTCCTAGCTTCTTGGCGGGAAGTTAGGTAATTCTGAGTCAATTCAGTCTTAATTTTAGGATTCATTGGTATGAAATTAAACAATTTAGTGATCATGATTTAGTATGACACATGAAGAAAGATGTCGGACATTTGGTTGATGAAATCATTTATAGAGAAAAATGAAGAGATCAGGAATACGATTGTAGTTCCTGATCGTGTGATTTCAACGAATCTTGGTATAAAACATTTCATGTAAATGCTTTGTTTATTTCAAAAAAGTATAAAAGGTACATTGCAATGTTATTTCTATTTATTCATATCTATATTTGACCTACTTATAAAATTTCCCACGGACTAGTAAAAGGAAAGAAGCACTAGTCTGGCCAGACCAAGCCTAACAATGTTAGTGTTGAACCCTGCTAAAAGAATGTTTTAAGGATTTATATGCACTATGAATTTGACCAGGGCATATGGAGTTCGTCATGTCTATCTTCTATCCTTCTGTTCTTCCGTTAATAATTTAATTGTAGTTGTAACACATCATTTGATTGGTTAAAAGAATTTATCCATTTTGTATAATATAACTTGCCTACGTCACAATGAGTTACGTCAAAAACGTATTACTCCGCTTGACGTTACTTTTAAAATATGCTACCCAGTATATTTGAAGCCTTTTTCTGGAGGAAAAATTGTCTCATTGTTTTCTTTGAAACTAAATTAATAGGAATGAAGCTTATTTCAACTTATGTTATACGATATAACATAACTTGGGGCAGTTTACGCTTTTATATAAACCGTTTCGCAGTTTATAAAGCGTAAACTGCCCCAAGTTATGTTATATCGTATAACAAAAGTTGAAATAAGCTTCATTCCTTAAGTAGTACTGTATACAGGGTTATTTTCGCCCCCTGTAATTTTCGCCCTTTTGAACTTGTGAACAATTTTGCCCCGTTTTAAATTCGCCCAGTCATAGTTTTGTTTAAGAAATTATGAAGTGTAATTTGAATTCGCCCCGTTTTAAATGCGCCCAATCAAGGAGAGGGCGAAAGGGGCGAAAATAAAACAGGGGCGAAAATTTCCCTGCATACAGTATCTTCTTAAAATTTTTAGACAATGTTGTTAACTTGTTTCCAGGAGCGAACATCAATCAGGCAGACAAGGAAGGCCAGACTCCGCTGTATATCTGTGTTCAGAATGCCTTCGTACACTCCAGTTATGCTGCCGTGGAATGTTTGTTATCTGCTGGAGCCTCTATAAATAGGTAGGGATAGAAAATGCCGGGGTAGACAATGATGGATAATGGCAAGATAGACAATGATGGATAATGCTAGGATAAACAATGATGGTATTGTTAGGATAGACAATGGTAGATAAAGTTAGGAAAGACAATGATGGTTAATGCCAGAATAGAAAATGATGGATAATGCCAGAATAGAAAACAATGGATAATGCCAGGATAGACAATGATGGATAATGCTAAGATAGACAATGATAGATGATGCTAGGATAGACAATGATGAACAATGCTAGGATAGACAATAAAGGACAATGCTAGGATAGACAATGACAAATAATGCTAGGATAGATAATGATAGATAATGCTAGAGTAGACAATGATAGATAATGCCAGAATAGGCAATGATAGATAATGCTAGGATAGACAATGGTAGATAATGCTAGGATAGACAATGATAGGATAGACAATGATAGATAATGCTAGGATAGACATTGCTAGGATAGACAATGATAGATAATGCTAGGATAGACAATGATAGACAATGCTAGGATAAACAATGATAGATAATGCTAGGATAGACAATGATAGATAATGCTAGGTTAGACAATGATAGATAATGTTAGGTCAGGGCTCTCACACCACTTTTTGGGACTGGGGCCGGGGCCGTTCAAATTGGGAAAATTATCGTCATTTTGGGAAAAGTTGGATAACACAAATTCATTAAGAAAAATCCTCAAATTTTGCTTTTCTAGCATTTTATCATCAATGCTAACTCTGGTTTGAATAAACAGTTAAACAGAACAAACATGGGTACGTAGGCTATTTATGAAAGTACATTAGCTTTGTCATTACTATCTTTGAGTGTTGATATTGCAATTATATGTCTTACTGCGTGACAGTCGCTAGTCACATAGTCCCGAATTTCCTCGATCACATGGGCAACTTTGCTTACCAATACAGTGCGAGACTGAACATGCCGAAGCGCGGTATGTTTCTAGGTGCAGCTTACTAATGTTTAAATGAAATGTCTATTTTTGAAACCAAAATGCTGGTTTTTGTCGAAACTACATAACAAGATACTCTGCACTCAAAGTTGTATACATTTTTGTCATGTTTGTAAAAACAATAACCTGGTTCCCCGAACCAGTTTACGAATGCATTTGGCGTGAACTAATAAAATAGTAGTACGGTTTCAATTTCATTTGCAAATGTGTTTTGTTTGGGGTTTTTTTTGTGATTAGGTTTGATGGACTTTTATTTTTTAATTAATATTTTACTCTGGATGGAAATTGGGAAATTTACACTTTCTTTTGGGAAAAAAGGTACCTTTTTTGCATTGGGAACGGGGCCGTTGAACGGCCCCAATTTTAGAGAATCGAGAGCCCTGTAGGTAGACAATAATGGATAAATCTTGGATAGCTGACAATGCCGGGATAGACAGTTATAGACAATGAACCAGTAAAATAATACCGGGAGAGATATTATGAATTTAGGACAAATAAATCATTTTGACTGGGTTTGCCTGTAAGGGACTTGTAAAACAACATTTCCCTGAACAACATCTTGCATAAATTTCAGTGATTATATTATAGTAACATAGAGAGTCTCCCTTGAAGTGGGGTACCCTATGTGTTCACAAGATTTTGTTTCTAACCTTTAGTATTTTTATATACTGTTTAGGGCCAATCTTTAAATCTTAACAAAAGCCGAAAATAATATCAGATATCGAAAATAAGAATGATAGACTAGGAAATCATGTTTTTTTGATATGTTTTTGTGCCAAATAAAAATTCTCAGAAGCTGGGAGGGGGGGGGGGGGGTGGTTGTTACACCATCCATTCCTCAGATGCCTGTTAAATTTAACTATTGAATATTCATTAAGATTGTTTTTCTTTGGTGTTTCAATAGTTTTTATACTGATTAATCATTTGTGTTTTGTAGATGTGACAATTCTGGTAGGTACCCCATACATGTTGCTGCTCACTGGAAACTGAAGGACATGATTCGTATTTTACTGAATGTGAACAGTGATGTGAACACGCTAGACAATCACGGCCGCACGCCGCTGTACGTCTGTGTCAGCTCGCTCAGCACGGGACTGTATAAAGAAGACCTCAAGTACCAGGTGCCCTGTATAAAAGTTCTGTACGCCGCCGGCTGTGATATGTTAAATCTCGTGGACTGGCTCAAGTGGAAGGGGCCCGGAATCCCCCTGGAGCTGATGAGGGACGACCCCAATTTCTTAATGTGGTATAAAAAGAACATGAATTCTCCGCACTCGCTGATGAACTTGTGTCGGAAGGTGATTCAACAGAGACTCAGCAGGAAGAGAAAGTTGTGTGATCAGACGCGACGACTTCCTGTTCCTCCCAAAATGAAGGTTTATCTCTCACGGATCATGTTCTATCTGCCGGCGTATGATCCGGAGTCCGATCCAGAGTCTCTGGATTAGATAACAATTCAGTTACTGTCAGAAAGGGTCAGTTACATGTGTTTTGGATTGTGTTTGTTATTCTCTTCTGTGGGCTAGGGGTCCAATGTTTCACCCCATAAGTTGTCATGTGTTCTCTTTTTTGATTTTATTCTTTTTTTTTTTTTTTTTTTGTAGTATAATTGCCCCAGTGACTTTACTGGGTGATTTAAAATTGAAATTACACTCAAATTTAGTTGACGTTGCAGTGGAAATTTTAAAGAAATTTACAATTTTTGGAAGGGAATTATATTTATTTTTGAAAGGAAGAGTCGTCTCTCTTAGTGGAGGGAAACTTAACCTTAAAATAATTTAGATAAGAAATGTTCACCTTAATTTTCCATGAAAATGTTTTCTTTAATGTGTTTAAACAGGAGAATTTTGTCCCCATTTTCTAGTCACTTTCATTTTTCAATGGGAATAAAATATGTGGTATTTTCTGTCCACAGGTAGAACAGATAGTAGAAGTAAACAAGTTAAATATGAATGAAAAAAACATAATTGTGGGGAGAAAAAGGTTCTTTTAATTTCATATATATTCCCTCTCCTCAGTCCTCTCAATGTTTGAAGGTATATGAAATTTTGTAGGTCCTTTTATTCCAATTTATGATAGATACGGACTAATCTAAACAATAGGAAGACTAGGAATGTCTAGAGAAATATTAATATAAAATATGTTTCTGCCTCAGTCTGAAAAAAATGAAAGGTAGGTAGGCCATTTTTTTACTTTTTTTTCATGAATACACTATCTAATTAACACTGTTGACAAAAAAACATAGTGCCTTAAGCCATTTTCGTAACAAATATGTTGTAGATTTTTTATACATTTGACAAAAATGGGAAATTCAAATCTTTAGAGAGAAAAAAAGAAGCATAAATTAATCAGGGTCAGTCATGCAAGCGGAAACAAGCAAATTTTTTTCTAGGCCTAAGAGTTTGAACTTTCCTCAAAATTTTATTATACTTCTCAAAAAAAAGGTCATTTGGAAAAGGTCAAGGTCAAAAGGGTTAGGATTTTAATTTGCTTTTCTAAAGTCAAAGTCATGTAAATTGGTAAGAGTTTAAGTCCTGTAAAAAAAACCCTCCTGATTTATGTTTAATGCTGGAAGGTCATTATTGTAATGTAAGAGTATTGATTTCAAAACAAGCCATTAAAATGAAGCTAAACTGAGGAAAATCAGGTACCAACACCTGGCCTTAAAATGTAAATAAGTGTTGTCAATTAACACCAGGAAGCCTGATAATGAAACACCACTGTATTACCTTGAAAGTTGATAATGCTGTTGGCATACTGGGCAATTATAGAATATCAGTTAATACAAGTGTGAACAAAATAAGTTTACATTAGATAACTTATAGAATAACACCGACATCGTCATATGTGTTTAAATAAAGTGTACTCTTTATTTACCCGAGTATCTTAAATTGGGTCAATTTATTGTATTTATGTAAATGTTTGTACTATTTGCTCTCCCTACTGACTTTTTTCTACTGTTATTTTTAGCATCACATATCCTGATTGGTACGTTGTTAAGGGGATGTTCTGGAGCATATGCAATGCTGTTTGCTATGTTAATGGTTGTCGATAAACCTTGTGGACAATTATTCATGTGTTTTACAAAATGAATGAATCAAACAAAATTATTTGATATAGAGCCTTTATGATGCATGTAAAGAGAGAGAGAGAGGGGGAGATAAATAGATTAACAAATCTTTAGAGTACTTGTTGCAAGGCTAAATCTTTGTGTCATTAACATGATGGCAGCATGGCATCAATTTATTTTGGAAAAAAAACTATCATACAAAGTGATACACGTACTTGACTTGATTAGCATCCTTTTAGCTTTTTATCTAGTAGGAAAAGTGTGGCCCAGGTTGGACAAAATCCAAGGTAGCTTGATCCTTGTTTACAATAGTAAAAAAAGGCAATTCGTAAGATTAGCATACTGATGGAAGTATGAGGCCTGTCTTCTTGATCCTTAAGCAAAACATCGTGAACTGTAATAAGAAGTTTTATTAACGGATTAAACAATTTTAGTCTTTTTAGTGCCTATAAGTTTTTACCTCCTTCAGAAATATGCTCAAAAATACATGTATGACTACTTTTAGAAAACATATTCTGATCTTGTAAAATTATTTTGTTTTGATGACATTTTCCAAAAATTCACACAGTACCTAATGATTACATGCTGCCCTGTGTTAAAGTCTTACTTCACATTGATTAGTATGGTTTTCATGAAATGCCTAAAACATTTTATAATTTTACACTTAATACTGATACTTGTTTTGAAAATAAATGATGGCCACAGTAAATAAAGATACATCTCCATCATACAATATTAAACAACTTTCATAAATTTAAATTCTTTCACACATTTCAATATTCATGATATTGGAATTGATTCTTGAACCCTTAACGAAGAGTTGACTTATCCTATACCTCCCAATCCTAGCTCATGTAGAAACTGGCTATTTAGTCTAATGATATAACCCTTTTAAAACAATAACTCGCTAAAAATTTCATTAACAAATATTTTTGTTTCTAAATAATGATTTTTAACATCATTAATATTCACTCGGCTTTTTTGGACTGCCCTTGTACATGTTCGTGTACATTCCATGAAGTATTTATTCCTGTGTTTTTCATAAAAATACTTGTCTTTTTATTGATTGTGGTCTTGTCCAAGTTCATGTCTTTTTCTTATTAATAAGAAGTCTTAAAAATGAAGTTTAATTATAGTTCATATTTTTATAATGAATTTTTTTTGGGGGGGGGGAAATTTTGGTATGGCATATAATTTGTTGAATGAAACAACCAATAACAGTCATTATCCATGACACTTGGAAATCATATCCATTTTTGTCTTGCTTTTATTAACCCCACAAAAACTAAGATTAAAGTGTACCCACTATGCAGTATTTAGCTGGCTAGATTTATGTACTTTTGGAAGTGGTTAGATTTGAAAGAAAAAGTTTTGAAAATGTTTAAAAACAGCTGGACTGTTGGTAAAACATTCTTCAGAATGATGAGTTTTAGGTATTGGGGCTGGTTCCCAATATCTGACCAGTAGAAGTGTTCGGAGAGAATTCTTGTTGTAGGGTGTTTTATAGGCAGGGCTTATAAAGCAGGAATTACATTCAGATAACATAGTCAGAATATGGTCACAGATATAGTCATTAATTCAGGGGTTAATCATTTTAACTTTCTGTAATTGTCTTTACCATCACGTAGTCTAACTTATAACCTATAAAAATTTTCACACTTTTTATGTGAAAGTACTGTTATACCTTGAATTAAGCAAGCGTTAAATGGCTATGGTATATGTGTCAATTTGTATTGTATTTTTGAAAATCTTGTGAAATGTGCTGTGCTAATTGTTTAGAAATATAATTATACAGTATGCTGGATGTTTTAAATTTAGAAGCACATTTAGTCCCTATCTGATACAGGCACTGAAATATATGATAAAATGTTTGTCATAGTTTCTCATTAAGTAGGGGGAGGGGGATAAATAACCAGATGATTCAAATGCCAGTTGTTTGATGTCGAAGGTTATAAATAATTTGGATTTTTTTAGTAAAGAATTTTGTGGCATTTCATTGGTCACTTGTCTTGAGAACATTAATTGTGTATGATGTTGACATCATCAAAATTGTTTGTGGTTCATGGTATGTCTTCTGGACATGAACTTGTTGTATGCATTTTATGTGCACAAGAGAAATCTCCAGTAGGTGGCGCTGTTGTTTGTCCAGTATTTACTGGTACTTTACTGGTACTCTTACTGGACATAGAACAGGTTGCTGACTTTTGGGATTTCGTTCAATTTTTAGAAGTTTTCTTGGTATGTTGTGAAAGGTTTCTTTACCACATATATATACATAAAAAAAAGTATTGTAACATTTCTAATAATTTTCCTGTTTGTATCTTTCCACTTTTAAAATTTTTATCCATTGTTAATCAGCTTCTAGTACTTTTAAGAGTGCTTTGGTTTAATTACCGGTAAATATAAAAAATGTACAAGTAGTGAACATTTGAATGAATTTAACAAATTTGTGCACTGTCGACAGCTATCTTTGAATTCTTTCTCGTGTAAGTGGCAGGTCCATTAACAGTTTTATATCTAATGTTTTTTCCCATTTACTATGGTATATATATATACATGTACTTATTACCAGTCATCTATATGTGTTACGCTCACTCACTTTGTGTTTGTTGAGTCTTAGTGCTATTTTCTTTGTTGTTTTACTATCCAGTCCTGAACGTCTTTTAATTTGTATGTCAGTTGACATTGGTAGTTCTTGTCATATTTTGGTATT